AGATGGTTTCTTTCTTGGAATGAAATCATTTTAGAGCAAGGATGTTCTAGTTATGTAACCTTTTTGAAGAGTAATGGTCTAAAAAATTGAACTTAATTGACCTGTGTTGACCTATTTAGCATAACAAAGAGACGAAGGTTCAACAATCATCTATCGCCTGCTTTTCTTTACTCTTTCTCGAATCTGTGATTATGTAAATGGTACTCAAATATTACCATTTGCGATGGTCAAAATAATACGATTATTGCCCAGATGAAAGTCTTTAAAAAGTCATGCTAATTCATAATGTCTCTTTTGGCGTTTGTGATACCAAAATTTTGAACGAGTTTTTTCTTTTTCATGCCTTCAGTAAGGTATTCAAAGAAAAATAGTGCAGCTAAAAAATTACGGTGAATTGGAAATCTTCAGCAAAATCAAAGAACGGTAATATTCTTGGCAAGTGTGTGGTAAATGGGTTGTAAGGCAATTTTATACATTGAAATCAAAACAGAGAAGGGAAAGCTTTTTTGCGCTTTCCTCATTTTGGATGGAAGGCACAGTCTATAGTTTAAATTGGCGTCTTAGAGTCGGAATCCTAATTAGTGTTTCCACGATTGTTCATGAAAATTTTTTCCTTGTTTTTGTTCCGACTTTCGATACGAAAGTAACGGAATATTTGTGCTCGGGGTGGGTTTTTTTTCTTCAGACAAATTTTGACTTTTTAACTAGCCTTTTTTGACGGAATTTTTATAACATTCAAAAGGTATTGTTGTCCTGAGCTTAAATTTGAAAAAATATTTCACCTGTTCATTTTTCGTAAAGTTATGAGGGTTTAAAAATTGCCATTTTGGCCATTTGGGACAATTAACGCGCGATATATTTCGCGCTATTAACTGTCAGCGGAGATTTAATCCGTCTTAGAAATCGTTCCAAATTGGTTGAAAGAAGGTTATTTGCCATAATTGATGTGTTACAAGGAGCGAAATCTATCGTTTTGAACTTTATCTGGCGTGTGGGGGGATAATTTTCATTAAAAATTTCAAATTTTAGAATTTTTTTTTTCATTTTATTTTATTACATTTAATTTTTTATGTTAATACTGCTCCATAAACATTAAAAGGCAGTCGGAACATTCAGGGCTTCGCCCTGATACGAGCAGTTTTGTTCTTTTTGCTCTTACGATATATATTTTTCAAATTTATGTTTTTTGCACATGCTTAATTGTCTTTGCTTCCAAGATATGTTTTTCTACAACCTTTTAAAGCTGACTTAAAAGCTGTACCCGTGATTTAAGCACTGATTTAGGCATTGTATACATAACAGGCGAGTTTGATTTTCTGGTTTTGTCTCATTCCGTTTTTTTTTAGTGTTGACTCATTCAGTAGATTTATTTCCCGATTTATTGTCTTAAGATGATTTTTGTCGCACTGGAAGGCTATCCTGGGGCTTCTGTTGAAAGTTAAATGCGAAAGATTTATTTTTAACATTTTCTGCTTTTTTAATAACTGTTCTATTCGAAGTATATTTTATCTTGTTTGTTCAATTTTCAACTCATTTTTATTTAAAGTTTTTTTTGGAATTAAAGGTTTCGTTATGTAGTATTTTGGCATATCAATCTCACATGGCGTCAATTTTTCGGCAAAAAAGGTTGTTTTCATGCTGAGAGGGTTAAAAATGTTTTATGCTCAGGTTCTTAAGACATTGTTTTCGGCACAGTGGTCGTGTACCCAATAGTGTTGGCTTAGTTTGTTCAAATTTTGTTCAAATTTTAAGATAAGGCCGAAAATTGTCCTTCTTGACATGATTTCTCTGAAATGAATTTCTTTCGAGACAAATCGTGATATGAAATATTTAGTAGATTTACTTTTTTATAATCATTCCCGCTCTTACTGCCGGCTCATTTTTGTCGGCTAATTCTTCAGGCTATGTTTATGGTGTTATTTGTATTGGCTCCTGTAAAGTACAACTTGTTTTTTTATCTTTGTCTAATTGGAATAAATCAAATAACAGTAGAATTCGGACTTTTCATCATTCTGTGCAATTTACAAACGGTTTACTCGATCGTCTCCTGAGCAGTTTAATGCATTGCAGCCAAGTTTAAAACATGTGCAGGAATCAGATTGAATTTGTTGCTCCTCTGTATTTTTCTAAGTTTTTTGTTGATTTTTAAAATATTCGCAATACGCGACAATTTTCTTGATTTTGGTCGTTTTTCAAATCTTACAATTTACTGTATCGCTCCACTTCGCCTGTTGGTTTTGTTTGAATGGTCAATTCGGGTGAATTATTCTCTCCCCTTTATATGTATTCTAGCCGAGTTATTTTTTGTCAATCGAATTAAAGTTGGTACACTGAATATGTTTTCCGCAAATAAGAAAGACTTTTTGACTTCTTTAAAAATTATTATTGTTTTTTGGTTAGTTTTTTCTTTGAAATGTTTCTTCGAAGTTCTACTTTTTTCGATTTCGTTGGTTTTTATGCAAATGATAAAAGTTTTCCCACTCAAGTTTCTTTGTATGTGTTTTAAGGCAAGTTTTTTTTCGATTATGTTTGGGCTGAAGCCCAAAGATATCCACAAAAGGAAACAAGACTGCTCGTATAAGCTTGTTTCAACCAACTTGGAACGATTTCTAAGACGGATTAAATCTCCGCTTACGCGTTAATAGCGCGAATTATATCGCGCGTTAATTGTTCCAAATTAGTCAAAATGGCCAAAATGGCAATCTTTAAACCCTCATAACCTTACGAAAAATGATCACAGGTGAAATATCTTTTCAAATTTAAGATCAGGACAACAATAGCTTTCGAATGATATAAAAATATTCCGTCAAAAATGGCTAGTTAAAAAGTCGAAAGTTGTCTGAAGAAAAAAAACCCACCCCGAGCACAAATATTCCGTTACTTTTGTATCGAAAGTCGGAACAAAAATGTTTGGCTAGTTGAGAAGATTTTTACAATAAATATTCCAGTTACAGTCAAAGAATTGAAGTTTTTTTTTCGTTTTAGATTTCAGACATATGTCAGTTGAGGCCCACCATGATACGTGCTCGCTACACAGAAATTTATATCAAAAATCGGATCTCTCTAACTAGCCTCCCGCCCTGTTATAAAAAGGGGGGATTCGTTACTTCGTACAAAATTCACAAGGGGCAGGATTTTCTCGAGGGGCCGGGGGCAGCGGATTTTTTTAAAGAAATTTTTGAAAATTTTGTCGACTTATTTGGTAAACATTTTTTGGCCTGTTTTTTTTTTCAAAATCTTGCCTGCCGCGCGGAAAATTTGTTTAAAATACGGTCTTTATAATGATTTGGTAGTGATTCATAGTCGAAATTAAATTTGGTTGACCGAAAAAAAGGGTTTCGTCTGAGATTACTCAATGATTTTTGGAAACGAGTTTGATTATATTTTTGGTGGTTAACCGATCGTAATATGTTTAAGGATGCTGATGGATCTGGAGACTGAGGAAGGGGTGGAGAAAGATCGATTTCTGGCCGAGGTAGAGGTGGACCCCCAACTGAAAGACAGAGTGTCCCTACTCTACAGGACATTCTACAACAGAAAGAACACTGTGCAACAGGACGACATTCTCTTCTCAGACGAGCACTTCTCAATCGACCCTCTGGTACATTCCAATCACACAACATTTATATATATTTTTAGTTGTGCTCAAACAATTTAACAGTGCTGCAAAATGAGAGTTTTTTTTGCATTGCTCTGTCAAAAAAGATATAATTATCAAGTGTCCATAAACGAAGTTTGTTGACAATATTTAGGTAGGTCATGTGGCTTTTTTTCCACAAACAAGTGTAAAAAAATAAATTGTTCAGTTTTTGCTTTTTTTTTGCAGTTTGAGTGTTTATTTTTTTTTTTGAATTTTTTTGCAAATTTATTTTTTGCTAGAAGGAAAGTAAGTTACGCTATCCAATAACAAAATGTAGATGGTGCAAAAAATTTAATTTTTCTTAAATTTTTAAAGCATTTTTTTTTCAGATTTCTCGAGGAATTCAAAATTGATTGATTGATCCGTTTTTGTTCCGACCATTTGAAAAAATGGGGTAGGAACTTAGTATTCGGGTGTGTTTTAGTTTTTTCTTTTTTGTCTTTACGCAAACTCATGTACCACAAATAATCACCGGAATGGATCGAGTGATATATCATACTAAAGATTTTTCGGTTGTGATTCGAACGACACAAAAAAATTCAAAAATTGTCCCAGTATGGCGAAAAACAGGTTTAAAGTTTTTTATTTTTAGTCTAAATTCGAGCGAATAATGCTAGCGCGCAGGCTTACAATAGCTTATTACACTTGTGAGCTTGCGGGTGTTAATGTATTATTACGAACCTTCTGTTTTTCTAAGCTAACTCGCAAACAAAAGTGTTCATGAAAAGTGTTCACCAATTTGGAAGTTGTCACTGCAGCATTGAAAATTGCATAGCATGATCTCTGCTTTATTTGTGGCTATTGTTTGTTTTTAATTAAGCGTCCGTGGCTGATTGGTTAGTGCGCGAGACTCATAATTTCTAGGGCTCGATAGTTCGTAGGTTCGAAGCCGTGACAGAGCCGATTTTTTATTAATTCGAGGCTTATTTCTACTTTTTCCTGTTGCACTTTATAGAGCCTCTTTGTTTATCCTCAATTGAGGCTTTGAAAATTGAGTAAAAACCTCAAAAGTTCAAAAAATTTCTGCACACAATTTTAAAAATGGTTTGATTTGTTTTCATTTTTTTAATTTTGCTTAATCAATTTCTACAAAAACTGTTGTAACTTTTGATACTTCACTATGACTGTCGAATGTTCCCAAGTTCCAAATTATTGGTCAAAATTTGGAACTTGGGAACATTTTTAAAGCATTTAATTTTTCTTAAATTTTTAAAGCATTTTTTTTTTCAGATTTCTCGAGGAATTCAAAATTGATTGATTGATCCGTTTTTGTTCCGACCATTTGAAAAAATGGGGTAGGAACTTAGTATTCGGGTGTGTTTTAGTTTTTTCTTTTTTGTCTTTACGCAAACTCATGTACCACAAATAATCACCGGAATGGATCGAGTGATATATCATACTAAAGATTTTTCGGTTGTGATTCGAACGACACAAAAAAATTCAAAAATTGTCCCAGTATGGCGAAAAACAGGTTTAAAGTTTTTTATTTTTAGTCTAAATTCGAGCGAATAATGCTAGCGAGCAGGCTTACAATAGCTTATTACACTTGTGAGCTTGCGGGTGTTAATGTATTATTACGAACCTTCTGTTTTTCTAAGCTAACTCGCAAACAAAAGTGTTCATGAAAAGTGTTCACCAATTTGGAAGTTGTCACTGCAGCATTGAAAATTGCATAGCATGATCTCTGCTTTATTTGTGGCTATTGTTTGTTTTTAATTAAGCGTCCGTGGCTGATTGGTTAGTGCGCGAGACTCATAATTTCTAGGGCTCGATAGTTCGTAGGTTCGAAGCCGTGACAGAGCCGATTTTTTATTAATTCGAGGCTTATTTCTACTTTTTCCTGTTGCACTTTATAGAGCCTCTTTGTTTATCCTCAATTGAGGCTTTGAAAATTGAGTAAAAACCTCAAAAGTTCAAAAAATTTCTGCACACAATTTTAAAAATGGTTTGATTTGTTTTCATTTTTTTAATTTTGCTTAATCAATTTCTACAAAAACTGTTGTAACTTTTGATACTTCACTATGACTGTCGAATGTTCCCAAGTTCCAAATTATTGGTCAAAATTTGGAACTTGGGAACATTTTTAAAGCATTTAATTTTTCTTAAATTTTTAAAGCATTTTTTTTTTCAGATTTCTCGAGGAATTCAAAATTGATTGATTGATCCGTTTTTGTTCCGACCATTTGAAAAAATGGGGTAAGAACTTAGTATTCGGGTGTGTTTTAGTTTTTTCTTTTTTGTCTTTACGCAAACTCATGTACCACAAATAATCACCGGAATGGATCGAGTGATATATCATACTAAAGATTTTTCGGTTGTGATTCGAACGACACAAAAAAATTCAAAAATTGTCCCAGTATGGCGAAAAACAGGTTTAAAGTTTTTTATTTTTAGTCTAAATTCGAGCGAATAATGCTAGCGAGCAGGCTTACAATAGCTTATTACACTTGTGAGCTTGCGGGTGTTAATGTATTATTACGAACCTTCTGTTTTTCTAAGCTAACTCGCAAACAAAAGTGTTCATGAAAAGTGTTCACCAATTTGGAAGTTGTCACTGCAGCATTGAAAATTGCATAGCATGATCTCTGCTTTATTTGTGGCTATTGTTTGTTTTTAATTAAGCGTCCGTGGCTGATTGGTTAGTGCGCGAGACTCATAATTTCTAGGGCTCGATAGTTCGTAGGTTCGAAGCCGTGACAGAGCCGATTTTTTATTAATTCGAGGCTTATTTCTACTTTTTCCTGTTGCACTTTATAGAGCCTCTTTGTTTATCCTCAATTGAGGCTTTGAAAATTGAGTAAAAACCTCAAAAGTTCAAAAAATTTCTGCACACAATTTTAAAAATGGTTTGATTTGTTTTCATTTTTTTAATTTTGCTTAATCAATTTCTACAAAAACTGTTGTAACTTTTGATACTTCACTATGACTGTCGAATGTTCCCAAGTTCCAAATTATTGGTCAAAATTTGGAACTTGGGAACATTTTTAAAGCATTTAATTTTTCTTAAATTTTTAAAGCATTTTTTTTTTCAGATTTCTCGAGGAATTCAAAATTGATTGATTGATCCGTTTTTGTTCCGACCATTTGAAAAAATGGGGTAGGAACTTAGTATTCGGGTGTGTTTTAGTTTTTTCTTTTTTGTCTTTACGCAAACTCATGTACCACAAATAATCACCGGAATGGATCGAGTGATATGTCATACTAAAGATTTTTCGGTTGTGATTCGAACGACACAAAAAAATTCAAAAATTGTCCCAGTATGGCGAAAAACAGGTTTAAAGTTTTTTATTTTTAGTCTAAATTCGAGCGAATAATGCTAGCGAGCAGGCTTACAATAGCTTATTACACTTGTGAGCTTGCGGGTGTTAATGTATTATTACGAACCTTCTGTTTTTCTAAGCTAACTCGCAAACAAAAGTGTTCATGAAAAGTGTTCACCAATTTGGAAGTTGTCACTGCAGCATTGAAAATTGCATAGCATGATCTCTGCTTTATTTGTGGCTATTGTTTGTTTTTAATTAAGCGTCCGTGGCTGATTGGTTAGTGCGCGAGACTCATAATTTCTAGGGCTCGATAGTTCGTAGGTTCGAAGCCGTGACAGAGCCGATTTTTTATTAATTCGAGGCTTATTTCTACTTTTTCCTGTTGCACTTTATAGAGCCTCTTTGTTTATCCTCAATTGAGGCTTTGAAAATTGAGTAAAAACCTCAAAAGTTCAAAAAATTTCTGCACACAATTTTAAAAATGGTTTGATTTGTTTTCATTTTTTTAATTTTGCTTAATCAATTTCTACAAAAACTGTTGTAACTTTTGATACTTCACTATGACTGTCGAATGTTCCCAAGTTCCAAATTATTGGTCAAAATTGTTTTATCATACCAAGCAGAAAAAACAGCACCAACTTGAAAAAAAACCGTTGTTTTTGTATTTCGTAAGACTATGGTTGGAACATTCTGTGCAACTTGCACCGTAACCGGTTATCCTTGTTCCTATTCTGACTTTGTTATATCAACAAAAAGTCAACAGTATTTTTTTTTGGAAATTGAAAGAGCAAATACACATTATTGAGAAAGAGAAAGTGAACATTTCTATTTGCTCTATTAATTTCTAAAAAATATTGGTGACACTCTGTTGATATAACAAAGTCCGAATAGGAACAAGGATAGCCGGTTAATGTGCAAGTAACCTATATGCACATTCAGGTCGTTTTGTTCAAAAATATTTTTCTATTCAATCGCACTCACTCATTTATTTCGGCAAATAGTTTTCGCAAGCAAATTGTGTTTATCTGATCAAAAAATAATCTTGAGTTCCAATCATAAATAATTTTGAAAGCTCAATTAGCTTCAAGGTGATTCTTTTTTTCTCTAAAAATTATATATTGAATTGTTTTTTTTCTTCAAATTAGCGTTTTTTTTTGCGGGGGCTGCCTGTTGAAAAAAAACTATGCAAACGCGTTGAAATTTAGTGAACTAGGCATAATTGGCCACGCACAGTTGTCTTCGTAAAAGCAATAACAAACAAAAAAAGAAATTTTAAAATGTTTTTAGAACATATTTTTGCCAAAGAAGCGCTAATTGTAGCTCCAGAAACTAGTTTTCCTTTTAGTAAAAATCATGTTATCGTAGACAAAATGACTATTTTTCATGTAAAAAACTTTGCTCGACGTTCGTTTCACTCTCTCAAAAAGATTTCAAACCGGTTTTTCTCGACTTTGGGACAACTTTTTTAAATGTCGTTCGAATCGCGGCTGAAAAGTCTTTAATATGATTTTGATATGATCAACCCATTTCGATGATTATTTATGGTACCTGATCTTGCGAGGAAAATAAAAAACTAAAATCCACCCGAAGACAAAGTGCGTCCCCATTTTCAATGGTCGGAGCAAACATTTTCTGAGAAAATTCAATTGGTTTTTTGGTGTCAATTAGTTTTTTGACGTTTTTCGATTTCTATAGACTTGTTTCGTCTGAAGCAATTGTCCAGAATCTCAGCCTCGCCTTTGTATCGCATCTTTTGTAGATAGTGCTTCGTTGTTTTTTTTCCGATATTTTATTTTTTTTGCGTTTTAACCGTACGTGCTCTTTAGTGATTGTTCATTCAACCATTTGCTGTTGCCTCGAAAACTCATAATGATAATTGAGAAAAATTATTAAAATCTGATATTAAAAGATGGATAATTTAAGTTGAATTCTTGTTAGTTCTTAAGAAAGGAAAGTGTGTTTAGTGCGCCTTGATAATTACTATAGCGTCATCTCAATCGTCTAAAATTAACCTATTTTTATGTGGTTGACTTGAGTTGTTGTATCGCAGGAGGGCGACATCTTCCCTCGGTCTGACTTCGACATCAGTCTCGTATTCCGACCGAGGACTGTTGCCGACTACACAGCTGTAGCTTTCTGTGAGGTGACTGGGAGGGAAAACCGAATGCCCCTCAGACTCAAGGGGGAAGCACTTGGACCCAAGGTAACATTCACACGTTCTGACAGCAGTAATCAAATTATTACACAATCTTATCTACCAAAAAGGCAATAAATTTGGAAAAAACCTTAAAATCTCCAATGTTGCGAGAATAATTAAATTGGCGAAAACATGTTAAACTTCTAATTCCAATCATGAATCTATGTTTTAGGTATCACTTTCTTATGTGGATCTTAACGTCGGAAATGTGTACATCAACTCCACCCACCTTTTCGAGGTCATCCTATCAAATAAGGGGGCCATAGATGCCATCTACAGTATCCTCCCCAACACCTCCGTCCATGGCTCCTGCTTCTCCTTCGACCCCGTCGAGGGTCTGGTGTTGCCGGATAGTCACCAGGCCATCACGATTAATTTTGACGCAGTATCCTATGGAATATTTGCAGAGGAGTTTCTGTTCGCAATAGACGGGACAGCCGAACGACTGAAACTTCGAATCATGTAAGATATCAGGCTGTCATAACAATGGAACTAGTCGTAATACGTCTGTTTGCTCTCTGCTAAAGCTAGAATAGTAAAACATAAAATAAGTTTAGCTTATGTTCATCGTTTTATAAATCAGATTTTACCAAAAACAACAGTTTTTTTTCAAAAAACCTGTACTTGTTTCAGCGGTCACACTATTGGTCCAAACTTGAGCTTCAACGTGCCTCAGCTGAAATTTGGCTCTGTCAGTTTCGGCTTTCCGTCAACAGTCAATGTGAAATTGAAGAGTGAGTCTGTGATCCCATTCGAAGTGAAGTTGCGAGTGCCTTCCGATGGCACGGTGTCTCCTCGAAGCGGCCAGCTGACGGAAAGAGACGGCGTGGTGAGCACGAGAGGGGGTCCCAGAACCGACACTAGATCGGGAGCACCGAAGGAGTTCTCAATTGAACCCAGTGTTGCCAACTTAGATCCAAATGAGACATTAGATGTTTCAGTTAGTAGTTGCAAATCTTCTACGTTTTCAATCATAACGAATCTATGTCCGTAACGAAACATTGAAGCTACTAAAAATCTATCATATTTGATGTTATTGCTTTTAATTAGTTTGTCATTTCAATGTAATTGTTCTAGGTAACCTTGACAAGCAACTCTCTTCAAAAATATGACACAATGTTAGTCGTGGACGTCACAGATGCAGGTACAGATATAGTGTCTCTGCCAATCAAGGCCAGGTGTGTGGTGCCTCCAGTAGTGTGTGACCCCCGCTGGATTGACTTGGGCAGGTGTTTCCTCAGATACCCCTACCTGAACAGAGTGACATTGGTGAATGATTCTGATCTTTCGACTAGATATGAATTGATGCCCCAAGTAGCGGGTGACAGTCTTCCCTTCAACTTCCAAAGCGACCGACCTAAGGTATGTTTTTTGATAAATAATTTTGCAGTTTTAGTTAAATTTGCTAGGCGATTACTTGTTTACTCCTGTTGATTTAGGGCATCATCGGTGGTAAGAGTAGGGTGGAGGTACCAGTGACTGTGACTGTCAATCAGATGGGCAGGCATTCCTTCCCTGTCCACTTTGTGCTCTACGGCAGCAGAGAAGCACCCATCGTGAGTCAATTGAAATTGTAACTGAGTTGATAGGTTATTTATGAAAGTGGAGAAAAAATTCAATGACTTTGTCAAATTTGGACTCGGTGAGAGTTCATCCGTCACGACAGTTGATAATATTTCGAAAACGCGCAGTTTTTCTAGAGGCAATATGAATCCAAATTTAAATCTTTTCACTTGAGTTGCTTGTAACATTGGACATCGAATTTTTCGTTCACTAAACCATGGTAGCTTGCCTTTCTAGCTATTATGCTAGCTTGCCTTTCTACGGATGTAACTTTGTGCATTTCTGCGAGTCTCTTCTTAAGACCAACTGTCACTTTTCACGAATCACTGCCTCTCTCTAACTTGATCTGCTGTTTAGCAAGCGACTATTGAGTGTTTCGGAGAGGGTCCAGTGGTTCACTCCTCCTCATTCGAACTGGACTACGGATCCATCCCAGTACTGCACAACATCCACAAGAGACTGACGCTATCCAATGAGAGTCTGGTGCCTGCCTACTTCGCCACTAGACTGTTGAGTGGCAGTGCGTCCGTGTGGCACTGTGAGCCGGAGTTGGGACACATCCCTCCTGGGGATAGTGTGGATGTCAGGGTGGTCGCATACCTCGATGACTCCCTCAAGTTAGTACAGCGTGCTTTTCGAGTGTGATATTTTTAAAATTCTGGACACAGAAAATGAATAGTTCACCATTGAGGGTTGCTTAAAATGTCTGCCTATGTTTTCTGTTCGTTAGGTTAAATAAGCGACAGTGCGGCGTCTTGTTTCTTCTCATTTCTCCATTCGCAAAAATGGCACCAATTTTGACATTTGCATTTAGATTTTTTTCTTTTTTCTTTGAAATGAGTTCAAAACCGCTGATAATTGAAAAGTGTCGACCGATAGGGCCTTGAAGTCAGCTGTATTTTTTTTCGACTCAATTCCACTCATTTTGATGATGAATATTTTGAGTGGTTTAGGTTCAAAGACAGACTATTCATAGACATAGAAGAGAGTAGTTGTATCTGTGTGGAGTTGAATGCCGAGGGCCATGGCTCCACCATTGTGTCCGATCCCCCTATTGGACCCACTCTGGACCTCAAATCACGCTTCTGGTAGGTCAAAGTGAAACCCACTCCACAATTTGAGATCTGATTACTTTGCATGTTTTGTCACTCCTAGAATATTATACACAAAGCTTTGCCTAAAAATTCGATTTAGTTGAAACCATTTTTCAAGTAAAATTGTATGAAACAATTGATATCTTTTCAGCAACCGGAAGTTTGAGTTTGCGTTCACGCTTTCGAATGTGGGGCGCAGACAGCAACAGATTTTCTGGTCCACCGAGGGTTTCGAGAAAGAGAAGAGACGTCCGGCAGACACTCCCCAGGACCCTGATGATCTGGCTGTGCAGAAGAAGAAGCAACTGGCGTTACAGGAGCAACCGAGGAGACCCCACTTCACACTTATACCCAGCAGGGCTGCCCTGGAGCCAGGAGAAAGTGTGGATGTTATTCTGGAAGGATACTGCGACAGGTAATCTAAGTTTCAAGGATTTTAATGGAAGCGGTTGTATGATTTGGAAACTCAAAGTTACTATACTGCATCTAACCATTCATCATGACTAGTAGTAAGTGAAATTTTCATCAATCTAGTCTCACTTTGAATTAAAAATGAATCAATTTTTTTTCTGAAACAATACGTTTTTTGCATCACTTAGCCTAAAGAGTGTTGAAAAGGGGACATTTTATGCTCAAACTTCAAACTGTTAGCCAGGAATAGTTAAATGTGTAAGAGCTAACTTCAGTGATACGTTAAAGGAACTGAAAATGAAAAGCAAACATAAAGCCAACTTTATTATGTTATTTGAGTTCATGTTTGTTACAGTGCCAAGGACGTGAAGGAGCGAATTGTGTGTCAGTCGATTTACAACAAGAAGACTGGCAAGCAGAAGATCATCGCAGTCGATGTGCTGGCCCACTTCATAGATCCAGCCATCAAACTGAGCCAGAAGATGATCCAGTTCAGACAGGACCTGCAGCCGCAGGAGAAGGCTGGTGCGATGCACGAAGAGGTCTGTATCGGCAACACTTCCTCCCTGTCTCTCACTGCCAAGATTGAAGTGGATCCCCCATTTGCACTTGTCAAGTTGGACTCCACCCTCACGCAACAATTGGTAAATGATAATCATCATAATAAATTGTTTTCAAGCAGATACTATACAAAAATTTGATTTACGAGAAACTTGGGTACTGCCTGGGAGAATCACCATTGAATCTACAGATCTGTTTTCAGGTGTATCAATTGGTAAATTAATGGTATTTTCCTCACGCTAGCGGCATGTTTTTTTTCGTTCAAACATACGTTCATTTTTCATTTTGTTCCACGATTAATTGCTATTTCGGATAGTTATTTGCGGCATATTTTTTCATTTTAATGATTTATAAAAAATTTTATGAATCCTGCATCATCACTCATACAAATGAAGTTTTGCCGTAGTTTAGTGGTTAAAACTAATGAATGAAGGTAACTAAGTGTTGTTGTGTGGTGATTCAGGAGTTGATTCTGGACGCTGGCCAGGAGTACCGGGGCGTGGTTTGCTTCGATGCCTCCCAGATGAGTGAATCCCAGAAAAGACACACAGTCAGGGCTGAGGGATCTCTCTCTTTCTCATATAAGGAACATCCGCAGAAGGCAAGTGCATTGTTTATTGGGTATCCACCTAAATTAACTTCATTACATAACTTTAATGTTAAAAGAGGTGTGATCGGTGCCTTTGACTCGCAATCAAGAGGCTAGTTTTTGGGGTTCTACTATAATCCGTGCTCGCTGCTTGATGATTTCCCGATTTCTAAAGTAAACCAGTTTGAGAACTGGAAAACAAAAAAAAATCTTCTCTATAAGGCTATTTGACTACATCTTGCAAGGATGCGTTGTTTATATTGTGATTTAAATGCCATTAGTGTTTAGTGTCTCGTAGCTTTTGATCGGATTTTACAAGTAGTTGGAATACCTTAAGGAGTATGTAAAGTTAATCTTAATTTGAGATCAAGTCACCTTACTATTTATGTTGCGAATTTTTCAGAACAAAGTCCTCGAATCTTCCGAGATTATTCAGGTTCGCTTATCACCAGCAATCAATTCCAGTCATAGATAGCTTCAGTCTCTTTGTGATGTAGTGTAGATTTTAGTGAATTAGTGCCCTTAAATCATCCTATTTCTACCCATTTCATACCCAATCAAATACATAGTGGCCACTCTTTGATGTGCTTTCCAGTGAACAATACTTTTCCCAGCCTACTTAGAATTAACTGCTATATCGGCCAGATATTGTTTTCAAGATTTTTCCTGTATTCTTGTATTCCAGTAGAAATTGAGATGTTTATGTAATGTTCAGGAAATAGTTCCCCTGGTGGCTGAAGTGAACTTCCCCAACCTCAGTTTCGACTGTTCCGACGTGGACTTCGGCTGCATCCTCAACGACACAGAGGACACAAGAGTGATCGTGGCCACGAACACAAGTCCACTTCCTGTCAGGTCGGTGACTGATCTGTCGTCAAAATGCCAACTAATTAATTTAAAAGCAGCGTCACCCAAATGCTTTATGAAATGGTCTGCTGGTTTTCAAGAACCGGTTTTTTGAAAACTATAGAGAACTGTCTGCAAAAGTATAAGCATTTTAGTAGCAGATTTTAAATGATTTCATTTGTGGCAAACTGGAACAAGACTGCTCGTATCAGGGCGAAGCCTTTAATGTGCCGACTGCGTTTTAAGGTCTATGGTGTTTAAAAAATGGATGAAATTTTCAAGAAAAAAATGAAAAATTTTAATTGAAAATCATCCTCGTACACGCTATATAAAGAACAAAGTGATATATTTTGCTTTTAGCGAAGTATTATAAAGACGAAACAGCTCGCCTCTATTCAATTTGGAACGATTTCTAATTCGGTTTAAATCTCCGCTTACACGTTAATAGCACGAATTATATTGCACGTTGGTTGTCCCAAATTGGCAGTCTTTAAGACCCCTTAACTTCACGAAAAATGATCACAGGTAAAATATCTTTTTAAATTTGAGCTCATGACAAAAATACTTTTCGAGTGATTAAAAAGGAATCTGTCAAAACTCTAAATGCATGATTTCCTTAAAAAGCGTTGAGTTGAAATAAATTATGCTTAAAATCGATAAGATAAAATGTAAATGAAGTAAATTATGCTCAAGTTTTTTTCCACCTAGGAAAATGAATCACATGTCTTAATGATGTCTCAAATAGAAATTTTAATTGTCTTGCAACTAGGTACCAGTGGCAGTTTGAGGCACCTGACCACCCTATTGTGGTACAGAGGGAACCCTACGTGCCCCCCTTGAGCAGCGAGAGTGGGGGGAGTGTGGGGACCACTGCTGTGTTGTACATGCAGATGAATAGTGACAATCAGTTGGAGAAGAGCCAGTTGGACGAAATGCAGAGTGAGAAAGGACGCAAAGATAAAGTCCAGGAACACCTGAACGAAGGTAAATTTATTCAAGCAGCTACTCAAGCATGCTGACCAAGCTTACCAAGAAAAGTGCGAATGGAGGTTGGAATGGCTCTCACTCCCTGCTTTTCTTTGCTCTAGAAAAACAAACTCTAGCTTCGTGCTTCCTCTTGATTCCGGAAAGGCACCATGCTTGCGTTAAATTTAACTCTGTAAATTTTTGTCCAAGCTAGAAAAAATTATAAAGATATATTTTCGTCAATGTGGGTCAATTTTGAGCTGGAACAGACGGTAGATGGTTATTTAGAGGCGGCAATTGGACAATAACCTTTTCAAAATGAGTTAAAATAACGTTGTAATTTTTTGTCTTTTTCTGGTTGCAAAAATTTGTTTAAGCTGCGAGTCATTGAAAACCAACGAACCAGTTCTCTATTTTTGTTAATATTGATTAGGTCGAAGTGGGGTTTCGACCGCAATTGAAGAGGCACGGAACCAGTTGGAAGACCAAACAGATCGAGTTGCCCCATTAGAAAGTGTTTCCCAGCCCATTCTAAATAACGGGGGAGGGGGAGATGCGATGTCAATCCAGGCAACTCAGCGAGCGGGTTCTGACCCACAAGGAACTGCTAATGTTCTGCCAATGACTAGTCTTGGATCCCTGGACACTGCAGCGTCGATGCCTGGATTCGGGAGACCAACAATTGCAAACTACTCTCAGGTACAAACTTCCATCTGCTCATCTGCACGTTGTTATGTAAATCACGCGTCCGTTTGCAAAATTTAGTAGAATCTTTTTTTAAGAACTTTTAAGCAATTAAAAGCTTTTTGCATGGCGCCATGAAGAGTGAAAAATTTTAAGGATTGAGTGGTATTTGTAATTTTGGGCTCAATGGCTTTTGTATCGTTGCAGATCTCAGTGGCTGGAACTCCGGCGGACGAGAAATCGGCCATGAACTCCGCTCCAAACTTGGCCACGATAGGCGAGGTGTTTGACATTATGCCTCTCTATGGCACAATTCAACCAGGGGAGTCCCAGAGGTTCTCTTTCTCCTTCTACGCGCACCCGGGCATCTCTGTCCAGGGCAAGGCCATCTGTAAAGTGGAGGGAGGCCCCGAATATTCAGTGGACCTGTCTGGGTCTGCAAGTGTCATCAGTTACAATATGGACACAGAGCCTATCCATTTCGGCCACCAGGTCTCGATTTTTTTGCTAATTCATCGCACTTGGTCTGAACGTAATGCAGTTGCCTTTGAAACCTAATGTCAGGGGTTGGAGCGCTGGATGGATCTTGTTTTTTTTCCAGTGTCTGAAATTGAGTTTTTTTCAACGAAAATTTGATTAGTCGGATTTTGTTTGTCGGCTTAGTTGCCACTCTACTGTTTTTTTGCGCTGTAATAAGTTTTGGAGTCTCGAGCGTCGTTGATTCACTCTGTAACTTTTTAGGCTGATTGGAATATTTGCCTCTTGTTTTTTTGGCTCTTGAAAAATTTTGGCTCTTATTTTGTCGGTTTAGTGAAATTATTTTGCATCGGTATAAGGATGAAAATTAATATTCTTATTTATTATTCTTATATTCTTACCAATCAGGTCGGCTGGTAGTATAAAAGCTAAAAGTTCAAAGTTTTTAATCGCTTAAAGTTGTTTTTATGACAACAATTTTCTTTGACATTTGTTTTCGGTTTAATTGGCGTCTAACAACGTGTTGTTGGCTTAGTAGACGCTCGGAAAATACTTAAAGCTTGCTAAATGCTAGTGGTTGAGTTTTTTGTCTGTCTTTTTCTTAGATGGAATTTTTTGTATTTCCAAAAACATGTTGAATTTTTTTGACAACCATTTTTTTGGCTATTTTGTTTTTGGATCACTTGGCGTCTAACCACGTGTTTTTGGTTTATTGGATGCTCGGAGATTACTGACATCTTGATTACTGCTAGTGATTGTGCGTTTGGTCTGTTTATCTGAGATTGAATTTTTCGTACTTTCAAAAAAATGGTGATTTTTTACGATAACAAGTTCTCTTGGCTTTTTTTTTGCGGATCGATTGGCGTCTAAGGACGTAGTTTTTGCTTAGTGGACACTCGGAAAATACTAACGCTTACCTAATTTTGGTCTTTGTGTTTCTCGTCTATGTTTCTGTGATGGAATTTTTTGTATTTCCAGTTTTTTCAAGTTTTTCCTTTTAGTTATTTCCATCTCAATGACCATTTAGTAGCTTGCAGTGGTACGTTTTTGTTGTATCCGAAGTGATCCGAAGCTCCGCTTTGCTTTTGTGTATAAAGCGTTAACATGATATTTTACTGAAGATCGGTCAAAAAGCAGACCTTTTCAAACGGAGACAACCTGTTTGATTTTTTTTCTATTCGAATTACCACTTAAATATTTTAACACGGTACCACATTTGATGCCGTACAAACGTCTTGTGAAGTGCCAAATTTTGCGTAAAAAAACCACGCTATGCCATAATTCCTTTCCATCCTTCCCAACAAAATTAAGGACATTTGAGTCTCAAAATTAAGGACATTATAGATCAGACCTGAGTACAATAAAAAACACCATTGAAAAAAAAATCAGTTCTTATCGATTTTTGTTGCGATTTTAATCTATTATTTTGGTGATAAATTTAATATTTCTGATTTTGTGTAGTTGTTTCGGCCATTGAAAATGGGGAGGAACTTTGTATTCGGGCGTGTTTTATTTTTTCCCCCGCACAATCAGGTACCACAAATCATCATCATGATGGGTCGAGTGATAAATTTAAAAAAGTCCTTCAGTTCTGATACGGATGACATTTAAAAATTTCAAAAAATTGACTCGGTTTCAAGAAAAACTGACTTAAAATTTTTGATTTTTTTGTTCAGTTTCGAGCGAATAGTCCGCGCGAGCAGGCTTATAATAGCTTATTTATGCTTATTTCAAGCCATGAAAACTTAGTTTGGAGATGTTAAATTAATTTTGGAGTTTTTTAGCGCCATTTTAAGAAATAAAAACTTCGAAAAAAATCAAAAATTTCTGCAAAAAACATTAGAAACCAAAATTGATTTTTTTGTTTTTCTACTCATTTTTTTGAAAAAGTTTTTGTCTATTTTGACTATATTGTTTTGACTGTCGAATCGAATTTGTTTAGTGCCATTAGGGAACTATACATTTCAAAGATTCAAAAAATTTCTGCGCAAAAATTTGAAAAGTTTTTGTTTTTTTTTTGTTTTTTATAGTCAGTTTCTAGATAATGATTGTCTCCAATTTGTCTATTTTAGTCTGACTGTCAAATGTTCCTAAGATCCAGTTATGATATGAAGATGGTTTTTTTCATGAATGTGGTCGGAATTTTCTGTGCCACTTGCACAGCAATCGGCTATCCTTGTTTCATCCTTGTTTTTTGTTTATTTTTTTCTCGCTTAACTCGGCTGAAAAAGTTTCGGCGTAAGTTGTAGCGACTTAATCACCTCATATGGCGTCGGTTGATGCGCGAAAGTTTCTTATGCGTGAGTGTTTGGAGCGATGCGTAAAACTTCGAGTTGAAAAATGCTAAAATCAAAAAAAGTTTTAAAAACATTTTAATCGACTCAGTGATTTTCTTCTTCCTCTATGAGTAAAAGCGACGATTATCTTCTTCAGCTCTGAGTAAAAGCGATTTGCTGCAATTAAAATCATGATTAACTTTCTAAGCGTTATTTTGATGCAGTCGTTCAATCGCGAGTGCAGTGCCACTTTGCAGTTATCAAACACAGGCTTGGTTGGCTTTGACTTCCGGTGTCTGGACTCGGAGTTGGTGGTGAATCCAGACGATGACCTCAAAGCAGGAGAGCCACTCTTAGTACCAGCATCTGTAAGTATCACAGTGTTGCAGTTGTCAAATTAGATTATGAATCGGTTTGTTTCCCCACAGTTGCGTATGTTTTTTCCACATTTGGAAAAATAATTTTTAATTAAGAATTTTTTTCAGGGATTCTTAGAAGCGGGCGAAACAATCGAGTTACAAGTCAAACTAATTCCTGGAACGCCCGAGCCTTTCCTAAAGAAACTTCGAGTACAAGTCGCACACTTCGAGCCCCACGTGATCGAAATCAAGGGAGAGGGTGTGTTTCCCAGGCTAGTTTTGGATCTTCCCAGGGAGTACAAGGAAGAGGAGCAGAGAGCGTATGATCAGGCTAAGAAGAGTCTAAAGGAGAGAAGAAGTGGCCAATCAGACGAATCGAAACATGTCATGTCGTTCTTGGCCGTTGACAAACAAGACGAAGAGGCCGAGGTATTCATTTTGTTCATAGCTAATAAAACACGAAGTATTCCGAAGCATTCCAAATGTTGCTCATTAAAATTTCAAGATAGAAGTATATTTTTGGTTTTAGTTCATTTTGAGCTTTGTCGAAAGGCTCTCACATTTTCACTGTTTTCTTTTTTCTATTCTTTTTCCAATCTATCACTTCCGTGATTCAGGTTTACGAACCCAGTGATCTTAAAATTCAAATCGAGATGGAAGCTCTGCTGTTGAAGCAGTTCTACGAAAAGAGACCAGGTCTTCTTTTGAACCAGTCTTCTACCAGAGCAAATACAGAGGAGGTTTCTACTCGTCAGTCCAAAGACCGAACTTCCTCCAAGGCGTCCTCGACGTCCAAGTCCTCTGGGGAACTGAGACTGCCGGACTACGTTCTGGACTTCGGCCATGTGATTCTAGGAGACGTGCGTACACATGTGCTGTGTGCGACTAACGTGGGATATTTTCCAATTTCATTCACAATTGATGACGCCAAACTGAAGGGCACAGGTGAGCTGGAAATTCAGACCGGAAACTTCAGAGATTAAAGAAATATATTTATAGTTGAATGATTCTTGCGGCTCAATAACTAGTTTACTCTCTTCTCATTAGCTAAAACTGAAACAACAAAACACTCCCAAAAATCAAAACTATTTCAGAAATTTTTTAAAATTTGCATCTTATTTATGAACGTTGTAATAAAATTTCGCGTGGTCAAAACATTCTTTGCTATTTGCACAACAGCTGGCCATCCTTGTTATAATTCCCAATGCATTAGGGTTCTTTGTGATATTTGCACTGTAACAGTTCTAATTTTTTCTTGTTTAGGTTTTAACACGGAGATAGAAAAAGTGAAGAATCTGCCTGGGTACCCTGACTACGACTCAGTTCATTCTGTCATCGGCTTCGATCCCAGGGGGGCCGGACTAGACATTGGACCCGTGAACGCTTATGCTACAGTACAGGTGAGAATACTTTCGTATTCTTTTCATATAAATGATGAATTTTTTAATTACTCATGGCATTAATAATAATGGCATTACTTACGGCATGAATTAGGTTTTTTATGACACAGGTACAGTGATAGAAGACGAAAGAGCTCCTAAAAAACCAGAAAAAAAATGAAGACAAGAAGCAGTTTCTATTTGGGTATCTTTTTGCTAGACAATAGTAGATCTTCATGGTTGTATTTTAGCAATACTGGCTTTTTGATTGTAAGCTTGTTTCTTAACCTTGTAGTTGTCGTAATGTAGGTGAAAGAAGGTCCGAGTGTGCGGGTGTTGTTGCGGGCCGAGGTGACGCAGCCGAGTGTGGAGTTGTCACACGACTCCGTTGACTTCGGGGAGGTAGAGTGCGGACAGTGCAAGATAGTGTCCGTGCAATTGCACAACCACACCCACGTGACTGCTAACTGGGCATTCGTTCCTCCCACACAGAACAGCGAAAAGCAGGGTGGCAACAACGAGAAGGTGATTTTTTCTCTAGTTTTTGGAAGCGTTCTATATAATTATAGATCCATGAAAGTTTTTGTTAAAACAAACCTTTAATAATAAATAAATTGAGTTCCAGCAGAATCACAAGCCTCCTAAAAATATTGGCATCAAATAATTTGCTGGTAAGATAGGTTCAAATGAAGCTAGCAACCCTGTCTAAGATCAGTCAAGGGCATTCGCCCTCTCGACGCTGACCCTAATTAAAGCCTATCTGCTTTATTCAGGACGAACCTCATATGAAAATATGCAGGCTATGCTAATTGTATAGAGTTTTATGTCATGATCTATAAACAAAATTAAGAACTTATTTGGATTTTGATGACAGAATTGAATTGTTTTTTTTTCCTATATTTCTGCCATAATGACGTTTATATACACAAAAGCGGATTTAGGGGTATTTGGCTTTTTCAAATAATTGCCCTATCAATTTTCTTCAGCCTTCACCCCGGATTAAATCTGCAGATCGGGAGGTGAGTTTCCGACTTTGTGAGATATAGTTAGTTGAAATGCTTCCATTTTTAACTCATTCGTTATTCCTTCAGAAAACCACTTTTAGTATGCATGTTGTAGTCCTCATGTTGTAACAATTGTAACGTAATACAAATTTTGATCGCAAATCTTATTGGTGTTATCATTTAATAAGAGTTAAATAAATTAGAAACAAAATGAGAATCCTTGTTGTTGTAGTCGGACAAGTTTGTGCCTATGCACCTGAGAAAAAAGAGCAAACACACAGTCCTTCCAGCTCCCCTCAATTTTGAGCTTATCCCGCGGAGTGGGATCTTGGCTCCGGGTCAGAGATCTAATGTGCAGGTCAAATTCATGCCCACCAAAGAGCAGCAATACTCTTCAAGGGTCAACATTAAACTGTCGCAGAGCAGCCGAAAGGTCATGCTCCAGGTGAGTCGATTACCTAATGGCGACAATCTAAAATTAAGATTGTGGTTTCATTAGATGTTTTTCTTTTTTGAACGAAAATCAGGTCAAGTTGCCTCATTTTTGCGTCTTTTGATTTTTGGCGTTGGAACAATTTTGAGTGCAAACCTTCGAATATAAACCTTTCGAAAATCACTAAAAGACTGAATTGCGGGCAAAATGTAAGGGAATCTGATTTTAGAAAGATGACTGTTAGTTTTTCAGAACCTTCGCTTAAGCTATCGGAAGATGATTGAATTTTCTCACATTTATACTCCTAAACATGTTATTTGGTCTCCTTGTTATGCCTCCTAGTTGACAGTGCCAAAATATCCAGTGAACAATCAAAAATTGATAGTCGTATCATATGTATTAAGGTATTATAACAGTATCATACTAAGATCAATGACACGTTGGAAAGGACGGACATGGGAGCAACTTGGCTTTTCAACCAGCTACTGTTGGCTGTAGCAGATTTAGGGGGGCGGGGCAGCGGACGCCCCCCTCCTCAGGGATTTGACCCCCTGCCGACCGAAAGGGTCCCCCCTTTTTACAATTTTGAGATATCAATTTTAGCTGACGGACCATAAAAATTTTCTAAAGGCGCCTTCGGCCCAAATATTTATTAATTTTGAGGGGAAAGCGCGCGCCAAAAAACGCGATTTTTTGGTCACAATTTTACAAGTGCCAAAAAATGCCGTTTTTGGCCTGTTTTTTTTTTGAAAATTTTGCCTGCGGCGCAGAAACTTTGGCTTTTTACAGGGTGGCGCAGAAACAGTCATTTAAGTGCTTCGGGAGATTTCAGAAAATCAATTTAGTCGACCTAAAAAAAGGTCGGCAAATTCCGCCCCCAACTGTTGATCTTTTTATTATGACTCTTTATTGGCTGTTTTTCTCAACTGGGAAATGTAACCCAACCTAAATGTAATACGCGATGTTCTTCAGGTGTCTGGGGATGGGAAGGAGCCTGGTTTGGATCTGGAGAGCAATGTCGTTGAGTTCGGCCCCGTGCTGCCCCACAGTCTGGGCGAGGAGAGAAGTGTCGTGTTCAGGAACTCCTCCCAATTCCCCATTGAGATTTACAGTGTAGAGTTCGACTCACAGTACATAGAAGAGGAACGGGTTAGTACTCAATATTATTCAAGTGGTGCGAAGGTTGATAATAATAGTGAAATACTGGTCTCAAGTGGCCTCAAAAGTTCAAGTCACACTTTCAATTTTATATAAACTACCAAAACGAACTGGTATTTTTGGGGCAAGTAATACAAAAAGGAGCTTGCTCAATGTGGCGCTTAGAATTAGTAATGTTTACCCTATCGATAAGCAAGGATGTTGCAATCGGATACTTGACTTCCACTCATTCTACTTGAGTTTCACTCATTCTACAAGAATTAAACGAAATTTATGGCATAATTCACAGTTCTGCAGCAAATTGTTGCGCCCGAGCTAACTTTTATAGCAGGAAATTTTGATTTCCTACCCTCGACCATTGATGCACTGCAGAAACGTCAGCCTTTAGCTGAAGGTATAAAAGTTTTCAGACATTTGTATTGTTTTTCTCGTAGATTGTAGCCGCAAATATTACGCAATATGACACATTTTTAGGATTTTAAACGCAATTTTTGTGCAATTTTTGGCAAAATTAGACGCAATTTATTGCTCAATTTTTGGCAAAATTTGGCGCAATTTTTTCCGGGCCCTGGTGATGACTGTGTAAGTTGTATACGCAACATCTTGAAATGTGGTTTTTTTCTTGGCACTGCCGAAAACTATCGGTTAATTTCAGCTTATTGAAAATGGGGAGGAACTTTGTATTGGAGTATGTTTTAGTTTTTTTCTTTTTGTTTTCCACGCAAAATCAGGTGCCTTAAAAATTCATCGGACTGGGTTAAATGATATATCATATTGAAGCTCTTTCAGTCGTTATTCCCAAAATTTTTTTAAGTGTCGAGAAAAACCAGCGTGAAATTTTTGATTTTTTGTCTTCGAGCGAGTAAAGCCAGCGAGCATGCTGATTTATGCTTATTTTAGGCCGTTTATAATAACTTATGTGTGCTTTATTTTAGTTTTATTCGAGTATAAATGGTTTTTGTATAATTGGTGTTTTTTAACGCCACAATGAGAATCAAAAACTTCTGCATGAAAAACTGAAGAAAAAACTTTTTTGTTAAATTTTTTTTTGGTTTTTTTAATGGTTTTTGTTTTCTTTTTCTAGTAATTTTTCTTCAAAACTGTTGTTCAGTTTGCCTGTCTTAGTATGACTGTCGAGTATGCCTAATTTGTAGTTTTTTTTGTTCAGATCTTTTTATCACACCACGCAAAAAAAAACACTAATTTGAAAGAAAAAAAGTTTCTCTATTTTTAATACTATGGTCGGAACATTCTGTGATGCTTGCACAGTGACTATCCTTGTTGGATTTTGATTTTACTTCTGTCGGCTTATTTACCTAATGTGTCTCTTATAGTTTCTGGTCAAGTGGGATGATATTGATTTAACATTAACAAAAAAAATTGAAAACTTCAAATCAATATCTCGTACCTTAATTGAAAAACACGAAGAAAAAAATGCAAATTTTTTTGCTCTTTTTTGTTCGAAGTTTTAAAAGTTATGTTTTTCTTTTTTATTCCATTTCACACTTTTTTTTTTACTATTCCTTCTCAAGTCTTTATGAGTCGCTTGCTGTCATTATCTTATCTTTTTTTTGAAGTAAATTGAAGACTTAAAATGCGCAATTTTTTTGTTATCCTACTGAAATCATTAAACTTTTTGATCAGTTTTTTCGTTAACATATTTTTGTTTCGACCGTTGAAAATGGGAACGAACTTTGTGTTCGTGTGTGTTTTAGTTTTTTTGTTTTCCGCGCAGGTACCCTTTTAGTCATGATTCGAACTACCTTAAAAACTACCTTAAAAATTTTTTCTAGTTTTCCTAGTCATTTTTCTGCAAAAAATTTTGTCCAATTTGCCTAGATTACTATGACTGTCTTATATGCCTAAATTATATTTTACGTCAGATCCTTTTATTCCACCAAGCAAAAAAAACTACTCTAATTTGGAAAAAAAACTTTCTTTTTAGTTTTCTAAAGACTATGGTCGGAACATTCTGTGCTACTTCCCGGCTATAGTAACCGGCTATCCTTGTTGTATTTTAGTTTCAGTCCTTTCTTGTCTAGTTTTTTGGAACGATCGATTGTGAGGCAACTGAATATGATCCAGTAACCTTAAGTGATCTCAAATCTAAAATCACTTTCATAATTTTTGCTCTAAAATATCATAGTTTATTGTTTTGGAAAGCCAATTAATCGAGTTTTTAAATTTTTTTGGCCATTTTTTTTGATAAACTAACTTCTCGTCCGTTATAGTTTTTGTTCCTTTTTGTTCAATTTTAAGTAGCGTAATTTTTAAGCTATTCAATTTTAAGGCTTTGGTTTTTATACGCGAAGATTTTCTGTATGGAGAAAAAATTGAAATTGGTCTCCGTTTTTTCGGCTGTATGGCTTCTGGTTAGTTTATCTTCGTTTTAGTTTGCTCGGACTTTGTTTTAGCAATTTATTGCTTCATTTTGGTTGATTTTGAGATATTTAGTACACTGATTCAAATAAATGGCATATTGAGTTTTTTGAAATTGCCCTAAAATTTTTTTTGCCAGTCGAGTTTTGTATATCGTGAAGTTATATTTCGAAATTAAAAAGATAGAAAGCTTTTTAAAAAAGTAGGCCATTTTTTCATGACTTAACAGGCGTAGACTGTAGTAACTGCGCGGTGAAATTTGGCTCAATGTTTTTCAAAGCCGGCAATTGCTTTCACCGACAGGTTTTCATGTACTTAAATTTTGTTTGAGATAAATGAATGAAAAATTAATATTGGTGAGCTGTTCGCTACCCGCATCTGAGAAAAGTGAAAACAAATCGATTATAATGTATTTTCGTCGTCTATAATGTTGTAAATATAATAAATTCCCATGTTACGTTCGGACAACAAAATTGGACTAAAAATGGATTTAAATCCATTTTTTCTCGCCAAAACAAAATGCATTATAATCCATTTTGAATCCATTAGAATGGATTTTATAATATGGAAGAAAATCACATTAAAATAGATTTTATTTCCACTTCATTTTTGTTTCGCGCGTCGTGCAAAATTTTGCAAGAACTTCAGCATTTATCAAGTGAGTGATGCGGAAACTTTGCAAAGCGAGTGTACGGCCTGGCCTAATCCATTTCAAAGCCTAAACTCAAATTGCAAAAAGATTCCGTTGAGCTCTCCCCCCAGCCCCAACGTTTGCCCCTTTGCTCGAAATAAGACAAAAAATCAAAATTTTCGAACCGGTTTTTCTCGACACTGGGATTTTTTTTTTGAAATTTTCTAATGTGGTGGGAACTACGATTGTAAGGGCTTTCATATGATACATCACTGAACCCAGTCTGAAAATCATTTGTGGTACCTGGTTTTGCGTGGAAAACAAAAAGAAAGAAAAAGAAAAAAAAACACACCCGAATACAAAGTTCCTCCCCATTTTCAAATGGGCGGAACAAATAATCAAGGTAGTTTCAGCATGAAAAAATATCCAAGAAAGAACAACAAAATTGGTTTAATGAAAAGCGCCAAAAACAAACTCATACACATCTTTAATCTCATGTTATATATCCGTTTACTTTGCCCTTTCAACTTTTGAATCTGTTTTTTTAGCTTGCGCTGTTTTTCGTATAGGATAGAGACAATTTCTGTTGTACAAATTGGATCTTAATTTTGTTTTGACAGAAAAAAAGTTTTTTTTTGGAACATTTTTAAGACGCGTCCTGCCTCAGAAATGTTTTTAAGCGCTATGACCTAACATGCGATTATCTAAAAGCGAGTTAAAGCCAGAACAATTATTCTTACTATGACGTCACTAGATTAGGTTAAGGTCTGGCATCCCCTTATGTATTACGTTCCGCATTGGAGTTCCATGAATAAAAATCAATTATAAATGAGGTTCATTTTCAGTGTCCACAAAAGTGAAAATAAATCGATTATAATGGATGAAAAAAGGATTTTGTTGCCTCGAAAAACAGTAATATTGTAATCCATTTTTAATTGATTAAAATCGATTTGTTTTCACTTTTGTGGACACCGACAAGGAAACTCAATTATAATCGATTTTTATTCATGGAACTCCAATGCGGGTATTTTCTTCAGTTTCTTTTTTACTCGGTAGTTTTTGTCTCATTTTTCAACTAGCCGCCATGTTTGTGTTGCATTGCAAGTGATGGAAAGCTCAGCTTTGCCTCTGTGTATAAACTATGATATGATGAGTTTCGAATCGAGTAATGTTTTTTTAAAATTGTAGACAAATCATTAATTTATATATTTGGTGATATGTATATATTATTTAATGTTCTCATAATTATTGAATGTTCTTTTGATTGCCTAGATACTGCGAGGCATGCGTGGATACGACCAGTACAACACCTTGCTATTGCCTCCGCGACTTCCGGGTGACAAATTGCCCCAGGAGTTACTGGATGCTGACGAGGAGGAAAGAAGGCGGGTGGGGGCTGTGATAGAACAGTCGCGAGTCCTCGGAGGAACTGAATCCGCTCTGCAACAGGACCTGGCTGGAGACCAAGGTCAGTTCAAATATACATGTTACAGATTCGAAAACATGTTACATTTTCTATGAAGTTTTATATAATTACAAAATCAGTGTCAGATTATCCAGTTATAATGGACATGATTGCTCCGACTGCGTTTTTGTTGGCATACCATTGGAAAATCTTGAGCGTTTATCAGTTTCTAAAGTATCATTTTGAGAAGTTAATCTGGTATCTGAATCATTATGGTGGTCGAGTATTTTTAAGGTTGCAGGTCTGTCAGATGTATTAACCGTTTTTCATGTTAATTTCAGTGAATTTTTTTACATTCGCTCTCAAGTAAAATAACCAAATGTAATGCGAGCGAATTTCTTAGGCTTTCATTACATGCTATTTGTGTTGTGTTCTTGTCGTAAGTCTTTTTTTTTCAGGCGAGGGATTGGCCCCAGACGCCGATGGAAACAAGGGGGATGTAGCCAATGAAGCTTCTCCCACCCCTGGGCTGCCTGCCAAGGAAGGAGGCATAACAGGAGAGGGTGATCAGCTGGATAACGTACAGACTACTTCTTTTAAGGTGGGAGCCCCGCCGACTACCGACAGAACACGCACCAGGCTAGAGTCCGTCACCAAAACAGGTAAAATTTAAGCACAAATACACTTTTTTTGAAATTTGCCCTGGGAGCTAAGTTAATTTCTCGTTATCATTAGGATAGTTTCACACGAGAAAACCTTTGAAACAGTGTTTAAAATGGAAAATTTTATTATTTGCAGAATCGCAGACAAAATTTGAAGTTGGGTATAATTGCTGAGCTTATTTGAGATTTTTTTTGTGAATGGTCTTAAAATAGAGTTACTTTTCTCAGATTTGAAAAGATGGTAAACAATTTTAAGAATGTTGTAAAAATTAAAAGAACCTTGTACATAGGCCAAATAATTTTCATTTGTTTCTCCAGAGGACGACTTGAAGAGTAAAACCACAGCGGCTGGTGAACTTGAAATAACTCCAGTGTCAGCTGCCATTGCTAGATACTTGGACATTGACCTCAGTCCAGAAGGAAAGAAAGCCAGAAACAGAAGAGGAGTTGCCATTATAATACATGGGGCTCCTCAGGCGGGTAAAACTACCACCGCGGAAGCCATGGCGAAGCACTACCAGGGAACTGTACTTGACATAGACCAAGTTGTCCTAGATGCAATTACAGCTGGAAATACGCCAGCGGGATTGAAGGCGCGTGAACTGTGTCAGGCCGCCGGGGAGGCGCAACGGGAACCAGCAGGAGATGACGAGGCCGGGTTCCCTGGATCCAATCCAGAGACTAGACGAGATACCTCCCCAGGTGCCGGCGCGAAAACTGCCACCCATGATCCAAACACGGAGAGTTTTGCGACTGTTAGTGGAAAACAGGACGCGCCTGTCGCGCAAACAGCTGCAGGAACTGCCGGAGGTAAAACTCATGCAGGGAAACCGGGGGGTCCGAAAAAAGATGCGGGACAGGCGGCAGCAGGAGGAGCAGTCGAGATAGCGCCAGAGACGGTGGAGCCTCCCGCGAGGCGATTGAGTGTGGCGTCTAGCATTGCCGGTGAGAGTGGACTGTACAGCTGTCATCTGCCAGAGGAGGTTTTAGTGGAAATACTGGATGACCGTATGCAGGTGCCTATTTCAATTCTTCTTTTTTCTTTTCAGAAGTTCCTAAGTCATTCTTTAGATCATCATTGCCATATATTTTTTTGAACGAGTAAATGAAGCCGCTAGATAAGATTATGATCTAGTTCATGCTGCGGAATGTATTTCTGAATTCTGAAAAACCGTTCAATTTTCAATTAGCTCAAAAATCAATCTAAATGCGATCAAACTGACATTTTTTTAACACTTAAATAGTGTTTCAACTAATGTAGAAATTGATTCAAAATTCATTGTTCTGGAATGTTATTATTGAAATTTTTTCATTTATTAAGAGTCGATGAACTTAGTTCAGACATTTATATAGGTCGCGATGATTTTTTTCATGAAAACTCTTAAAATTTGACCAGGCTCAAATTTCTTTTTTCGCGTTTTGACCTCCGATCGCGGTTTTGACTCAAACTGGGTTAACTTTATCAAAAAATGTCAATTATAAATTGTTCCAGAAATTCGAAGAGCTTTAAGGGCATCTTTTTTTTCGTCGAAAATCGGAAGTTGATATTTTTTCAAAAAAAGGTCCTTATTTTTTTCTGTTTACTTGCGTTCATTGACTGTTTTCCAACTGTCTGTTGGCTATGTTTGAATCTTTTTGAGCTCTGATCCTTCATATGTATCTCTATGTTTCTGTTTTCGATAGATGGCAGACTGCTACTGCAACGTAGTGTTCGATGGCCTTGAGTCTGTGTTCACACCTTCTGTGACGTCATCAGCTAGTGTGGTGTTGAAGGCATTCAACAACAGGAAGTACATCTTCCTCCTCACTCTGCGTGGATCCCTGCAGGACCTGAAAGAGAGGGAATCGGCAGCTCAGAAGAAGAAACGTGAGACCATTGTGTACAATCTGTGTACAATTACTGAACTAGACAGTTGTTGAACAAGTTTCGGATCTTGTGAACGATCACCACATGATACGTTATAACGATTATCTAACCCTAGGCCCTTAAACCAACAGTTTAAGATATACGAATCTTGGTTGAGCATTGCATCGAATTCTCCTTCCGTTTGAAATAAGAGGAGGTTAAATAAAGCTTCGTCTTTATCCGGAGGCGGGGACAGAAGCGAAAAATGGCAAAAAAGCTATCTATCTATTTTGTCAAAATACTGATAACATACGACCTTGAAACAAAAATAGTGCCTAAGAAAAACTTACTGTCTGTAGCGATTGACGCTGATTTTTAAAATATAAAATTGTCAATCATTTCTTTTGCGACTAGCCTTAGTTTTCACTTTTCCTTTGTGGAAAATACAGGGATTGAAAAGAGATTGGAATCTGTTTGTGATGTTATAGAAAAAGAAAAAGAGGCCAAGTTGGAGGCGGAGAGGACTTTCCTGCAGGAGATGGACGAAGACGAGTACGACGCACTCTCAGAGGAGCAGAAGAGAGTCGTGGACCAGCACCAGCTTCTCATCAAGAAACAGCGCATGCAACGGTATACAACCAGAGAAAAACATGCAAATTATAGCAGTTCTTAACCAAAGCCACAACATCTGTTCTCTGCGATGAGCTGAAAAGCTCGTATGTTGTTCCATTCCATTGTGGATAAGTCGTTTTATTCTCAATTGAACCACTGTTTATTCAACAAGTACAACCCCTATAAGTGATCAGATCGTTCAGTGCTGCAAAAATTAGCTTCGTTTTCTATTTAATACGCTTGGGATAATAAATAAATTAAGGTTATTTTCCATGCCATTGTACTAAAGTTACTTTATCGAAGTTGAAACATTGAAGAGGCCACTGCCTGTTCCTGTTGAATAGTGCGTCTTAATGAGCCAACGAGGCCATAACAATTTGAAATTCTAACAATTGGAAGTTTGCAATTGTTTTGTTTCAGTGACCGGGAAAAGAGTGAAGAAGAAAGAAAGAAACGGGAGCTGGAGGCTCTTCTGGAGCAGCAGAGGCTAGAAGAGGAGGCAAAGGCTAAAAAGGGACAGGGAAAGAAGAAACAGCAGCACCAGGACAGCGCCAAGTCAGTACCATAATACGGGGCGTCCCTCATGCGCGAAGAATCGTATGCGCGGAAAAGTTCGCGCATTCCGTCGTTCACACATTGGGAATAGCTGCCTCCTCATAAAAAAAAATATATTTATGATCATTGTTTTATGTACGGTTATTACCCTTGCGATAAGCAAGGGTATTGCAATCGAGTACTAACCTTTTTTTCGTAAATGACTTTGTTCACAGGTTTCAGCATGTATGCAGTGCACGACATATGAATGCAGTATCTGCATCCTATTTGCGCACTGTACATCCTTATTAGTGTTTTCCAATAATTTAAAAGATATTTTTTGGGTTTTTTTTAATTTTTGACTTCATCGCTTTCAGTTTATTATTGTTTTTTTGGCGTAGTTTCCGCCTTGTTTTTACAAGCCAACAATATCGGTTATATGAATTGTGTTTATGAAGGTTAAAAGGCTAAAGAGTTTTTTGAACTGAAAGTGCTAAATTTAAAACATGAATTAAAAAAAAATTTCGAGCAATTTTTTGACCAAGTTTATCGCTTTTAATAACTCACTTTTTTTTCCAAATTTTGATAACTGTTTCCTTCGATTATTTTTTTGTTTCATGTTAAATGTAGTTCACGGCTTCTGGTATTTTCACACGCCGAAATTTTCTGGTAGAAAAAACAGTTTAAGAATTTTTCTGTTAGAAATTTATGGTTTGTGATTACTTTGTACTAAAAGTGCGTGGAGTTAGTATTAGTTTTATTTAGTTTAGTTTGTTTGAGTTTCATAAAATTTTATTTGAAATCGATTTAACAGCACATTGTTTGAATGTGTCAAAATATTTGAAAAAAAAAATTCATACATTTTGAAAAAAAAATCATAAAGTTCGAAAAAAGTCAAAAATCTACAGAATTATCAACGATGTTTCTACAATTTTGACATGACTGTTTCGTTTTTGAAAGAATGTGGTTAGTGCCTTACGATTTTCAAGAGTTTGGTTTTTCTGGCTGAATTTTTAAAACATGCATTTTCTCACGTTTTTTTGATTTCATTAACGGGCGTATTTTTGTTGTAATCTTTTTTATCAAGTTTTCATATTTGATAAGTGTGATGTTTTTCAGTTAAGGGCCTTTTCTTATCCACAAGCTTAACTGAAGGACTTTCAGCTTGTTTGGTTGTAAAGGTTTAAGCAAATATTTTGAATTCAATTAGTAATTTTAGATCATTTGATCGAGTTTTTTCATCTATTTGTTATGAGAGATTAATGAATAGGTAACCCGAGTCCTTCTTATCTTTTAGGTAGTTTTTTCATCTGTTAGCCTACGATTTCTTCAATACATTTATTTTTTTTACTTTGCGTTTGAGACCTATCTTTTGAGTTTTGGCTTTTTATTTGCTCCGCAAGTGGTGCGAAGCTCAGCTTCGCCTCAGTCTTTAAACTTTCCTTTTCAAACTGAAATGAGTTCCAATTTAGGCCTACTAATTAAGGCCTACAAGTTCTTATTGTTTAAGGCTGAAGAACTAGTATCTTCAGCCTTAAACAAGACTTAACAAGGATTCAATGCACCAGCCTCAGAAATAACTTGGAATTTAAGAAAAGGGACAGTATAACAGTGCCGAAGTACAACATTATATCGCGCGTTAATTAAGTTAAGTTGACCAAGTTTCAAACCCCCGTAACTTTGCAGAAAAAGATCACAGATGAAATATCTTGTTACATTTGAGCTCAGGACAACAATATCTTTCAGATGGTATTGTAAAAAATTTCTGCCAAAAATGCTTAGTTATGAAGTCGAAAATTGACTCTGAAATCGAAAAGAGTCTTTGCTAGCGAAATATTTTGAGTCATTGTGTCTTTTAATTTTTTTCACCTGACAATTTTTATATAAATCTCTTGCTATAATTTATGAAGATTTCTTTTTTTGAATACAATTGGCGCCTTAGTGTTGATTTTTGGGCTCTTTTATTCCGCCTCTGTTCACCCCGTGGTATATAGGTCATTGGAAAAGTAATTTTCCTAAAATTTCAGTGAATATCCTGGAGTAATTTTATCAGATAGATCCATTCTCTTTGATTCAAATTTCGCTGTACTCAGTAGAAAATCAGCCGTTGCCACTTAATAATGAAGCCAATTGATAGTTGATATCTCTAAATAGTCTTCAGTGTGATTTTTAAATGATGGATGCACTGTCAAAAATTATCCCGTGCTTAACAAAAAAGCAACTAATTTGAATCTCGACATATATCTGAATTTCAGCTTTAAAAAAAAGTTTCAGCATTACTGATTTAAGCCCTTTAGACTAAGTTCTAAACGAATAAAATTACTCATTAAAGATGCGCTTGTTTAGGTTTTGTCATATAATGGAAATGAACTGCAAACAAACAAACGCAGAATTGATTTGGTCATTTTAATTCATTTTCGCCCCTTTTTTGCCGTTTTATTCGCCAAATTTTGAGACCGTGTCCTGCGCACGATCAGAATCGATTGTTTTGCATAAAGTTAATCGCTTGGGTTCTGCTCAAAGTTTTTCAAAAGTTTGATACTTGATTCAAGTGTTATTTTCTACTTTGGCCATTTTGTAGACGAGCGGCTAGGCTAGCTAAAGCAAAGCGAATAGACGCTTTGAATACAGCCTCCAAGTAAGTCATTCAGCCATGGAATCAAACAGTTTTTTTTTGTTAATTTATCTTCCTTCTTTCTGTTGAAATTAAATTGAGTTTTTTTGTTGATTTATTTATTGCTATAATTAGTCGCGTTTCCATTTTTGGGACATACCAGATCGCAGTCTAGTTTGAGTCAAATTGGAATTTAAACTACAAGAATAGTGATATTTCTACAGGCATGACAAGAAAGGAGACAAAAAAGGGGGCGGCAAGGAGAGTGCGCGAGCTGAATCAGTGGCTGGAGCAGCGGCCGCTCTGGCCCAGAAGAGTAGCGCGAAAGACTCCCGGAAGTCTCAGCATCAGGAAGTTGTTCCTGGAGCTGGACAGGCTGGTGCGCCGCAGGGGCCAGTGCAGGACCAAGTGCAGGATGTGGAAGCTCCTTTGACAGAGCAGGAGATCAAATTGAAGCGAAGGTACATATGACTGTTTAAAAAGAAGCTCTGTAAATCAGAGATCAAGCAAATTAAAGACCACCAAAATACAAAATTGTTTTTGGAAAAGATAACAGGATAAAGTAACCAATTAGTTTCACCGTGAAATCTTCTTTTTGAGTGGCTTCGAGAAAAGTCTAAAAGCCACTTGAAATAATTTATTTGAATCCATGCCTTGATTTGAATTTATTAGTATTTTTTGTTAATTTCCGATCTAGCTCTGTAATTTATTAAAACATAAATTATGTCCATAATAACATCACCAGAATTTTTAAAATGACATTATAATCAGTCCATTTTTCGATTTCTAATCAAAATATTTTGCCGTGGACTAGTCGAAAAGCGCAGGTCTTTTGATAATTGATACTATGGTGGTGGTTTTTAAAAAATTATTTTGAAATTGAAATTTTTTTGGCCAACGAATTGTCGGACGGTTGTCTGTCAGCTTTCTTTTTGTTGTCTCACTTTCCAAAACAGGGGATTTTCTTCTGATCTAAGCAATTTTTACTGTAATTGAATTTCGTTTTGTGATATGTAAGTTCACGCACTCTGATTTTACACATGCGAGCTAGCAAGCGTAGTGTATTAGTATGACTCAACTTTTTTAGTAAGACTTTTTCACTATAATCACAATCTGTAGCATTGGAAATTTCATTGCATCTGTTTTTTCGCTTTATTACCGCTATTTTTTTAAAATAAGCGTCCGTGGCTCAGAGGGAAGGATGTGAGATTCCTAAGCTACTTGTCGGAGGTTCAACGCCGCTCATAGCACTAGTTTTGTTTATATTTAGTGGAATTTTTGCTGAATAGCATTGGCATTTTATTAGCATCTTTGGCTGCGTCATTGGTGGCATGTGTTACCATATTGAAAATGGGCCGTGTAGCAGATGCAAGAATGTGAGATTTCAAATCTTGAGATCGCAGGTTCGAATACGAAACATAGCAAAAGTTTTACTAATTCGAGTTTTTAATATTTCGAGTTTTGCTTATTTCTATCTTTTCTTATTTCACAATTTGCTTTTTTTTGCTTTCTCGCTTGTGGTTTCAATGCGCAGCTTCGGCTCTGTGTTTTTTTTTTAATTTTTCCATTTAACGTTTTCCGCTCTTTTTGTTATATCGGCTTAGCTACCTTACTACCTTATATGGCGTCGCTTGAAAAATTATATGCTCATATTGTATCGCATATTGTATTTTTTTGAAATAATACAACTATTTGAAGTTCAGTTGAATGTGATTATGAATGTGATTAGCCTTGATGAAATAAATTTCTTTCGATCGTAATTCGTTTTTCTCTAGAATGCGTCATTTTGAGCTGACCATCAAAGACGTAGCGAAGCTAGCGGAGAGATGGGACAGGTGCAAAGGGGACGTGAATAGACCGCTAACTCCTCCTCCTGACGATGCAGATGACCGAGCACACAAGGGTAAGGGAAAGAAAGAGGAGAAAAAGGAAGACGACGAGATTCTCGGTTCGAATCCCGCACTACTCGACGAGAATATTTCCGTTGGAATTCCACATATTGTACTTTCCATTGCACATGAGGCTGAAACAGTGTTCTCAGAGAAGGTGTTAGCGATGGAATTCATGCCTAAATTCTCAGATATCATGGACGGCTTGGGTTTGGGTTCCCAGGGTCCACCCCTTCCGCCTCCCTCTTTCTTCCAGGTGGTTCAGTTTCCAACAAAGCGACAGCAAGTCAACCTTGCTGATATATCGGAGCATTTTGCATTCATCGCCGCTACACTCGACGACCCGTAAGTCTTACTATTATGCTTACTTTTATAAATGTTTTTTATAAGAAGACTTAAAAAGTCATTTTTCTCTCGTTTAAGGAACGTGATTCCTGTAGAAGAAGGAGAGGAGAACGACGATGAGTCAGAGGTTGCCAGTACCTTGGGTGACAAGAATCCACCCGGCACCACGGGTAGGAAAGCCAAGAAGACTTCAGGTAAATCTCAAAATGAGTCTTAGGCCAATTAATGTGTGTTTTGATGAGCCTTGGTATTAGTGAAAATTTCCTGCATATATTGTGAAATCGGTCATTGTGAAAATGAATCCATCATTTTAAACAAAGATAATTAAACAATACGCAAAAATAGATTTTCAAGTAATCTTTTTTGGGGTTTTTAAGTTCGTAATGGTATCTTTAGCGACATCAGCATTTTACGGAATCGAAATTACTTCTTTTCAGTGGGGTTTTAAACCAGATCGGCGTCTGTTTTAGGCGAGGCGATGGCTGCCAAGGCAGTTTCAGCGGCTGGTCAGAAGGAGAAAGCGTCGGCCAAGGGCTCCAAGGGGAAGAGAGGCAAGGTGGGCACTGGTGAGTTGGACAGAGACGAAGAAAGCCAACAGAGCGCCAAGTGAGTTGACACCATTTTTAGTCCATTGACTTTTTAGTCTGAATCGATGATAACTCGAGTGAAATTTAATTTACAGCTCTAACATCATCTTCTGAAAAACATTTAAGATTTATAAAAAATGAAACTAATGATTAAAATGGGTCTAGGACTAAATCCCCCAGGATAAAATCCCACCGGATATAATCCCCCAGGACTAAATCCCCCGTAGGACCAAATCCCCCTAGGACAAAATCCCCCAGTTTCTAGTCTAAAATCCCCCACATTCGAATTCAAAGTTGCTAAAAAGTCACGTCAAAATGGCGATGCATGTATAAATGGAAGTCAGTTCAAAATGGAATCAATAGAAACATGAAATTATATAATGTGTACAGTTTGATTTCCATTATAGTGAATAAAATATGGGGGATTTTGTCCTAGGGGGATTCGGTCCTATGGGGGATTTAGTCCTGTGGGATTATATCCGGTGGGATTTTATCCTGGGGGATTTTATCCTGGGGGATTTAGTCCGCGAGCGGATTAAAATTTGTGGCTTTTGGGCCCTGCCTGAAGTGTATAAAATTTACTTGCTCCGCGATTTGCAAGTTTAGCTCTTTTAATTAGGACATGTTTTTGCCAGGTTTAATTAATGCTTGCTACTTCAAAAAATTATTTTGATCAAATTTACATGCTTTAACTTATCGATCTTTGAGCTCGTTTAAAAGGTTATTTTTTATTCTGTTATATTTCTGCCAGGAGGCGCTTCTCTATTTTATCGGCTAATTTCCGAGTTAAAAGAACGACGAGCAGCATAAATCACTACACGCCTATGATTACCATAGACGGAGAAAGTCGTTCTAGTAGCCGAACGCGCAGTTGCACTTTAAGCACCTGGCTTAGCTTCGCCCCATTTCAAGCGCCGTTGTTAGTCAACAGATGAATCACCAAACCACCAGTCCTCTCAGAATAACCACCGATCCTTTCCTTTTTACTCAGTTAATTTATTTTCTGTTTTTTTTAAATATATTTTGTACAATCACGATTAAGCTGCATAATTTTAGATGAGCTGACCTTATATCATAGATGTGCTTTTCTGTTCAAGATCAACTCCTTCATTAATTTTTTGTTTGATTGATTGATTTTTTATTTAATGATCATCGTACTTTTCAATCATAATTTGGTGGAAATCTAATTCCACGACCATTTCAGACTCAACAAGTTCCGATGGGTGATAGATGCGAATAGCGAAGTAGTGCTGCGACTGAGGTTCACTTCCAACGACATCGGCCAATTCGACCAGACGCTCAATTTCGAAATAGTGGGCACTAAGAGACGATACCAGCTGTTCTGCAGAGGCACTTGTTCCTTCCCCCATATCTCCAGGGAGCCAAGGTCAGTTCGTAGCTATCACTCTGGGAACAGTTTAGTTTTTGAAAACTCATCTTGCATAATTTGTGAGACCCGGGAACCCAAATCTCAAGTGATTAAGTTCATGCTTCAGTAGAAAATCTGGCTAGTCGATGCAGTTTTTCGATATAGCTTTGCTTCGAAACTTTTCCAATTACTATTTACGACATTCAAGTTGACGCGGTTATTTATGACATTCAATTTTGGCATATTTATTCAATTTGGACAGCGCAGAAATTATTCAAAATTGTAATTTCTGTCACCATTTTTAAAAATTAATTGTCACCTTGCATTAACATGGAAAGAAGATTGAAACTTTTCCGTAGGTGTCACAGAAATCTCCTGGGAAAAATATTTAAAATTTGGCGCTTTAATAAATAGTAAAACTATCAGCTTAATAAATGTCAATGTTTTTCTTGACTTCAGAGTGGTATTTCCCAACCGAAAGAAGACAGTTAAGAAAGACGAAATCGTAAACAAAAAGTACGTCATGTCTCCCAATAGCGAGTACTATGAGTTCGGACCACTCCTTTGTGGCAAGAGTCGGGAGGCCTACTTAGATGGTAGATATCCTGAAAACATGGAGTGTCTCAACATCACAAACACTTCTGCGATGCAAGCCCAACTGGCCGTTACTTTCATGAATGACACCAAGGGCGAGACGTTTCTGTTCCATCCTTCAACCATGGATCTGAAACCAGGCGAGTCCCAGTCATTGCGGATCTGGGCATATCCAAAATCTCCAGGACTGGTCAAGGATACCCTGGTTTGCTGTGTGAAGGAGAACCCGGAACCCCTGACGTTTAAGGTGCAATGCACTGGAGTCAGACCAGAAGTGGAGATGGACAAGAAAGAGTTCAAGTTTGAAAAAGTACTCCTCCACAGGTTTGTTATTCATAATCATACACAATTGTTTTTGTGTATTTGACATGCATCCAGTGTCTGTATCTTAATATGCAGGAAAGATTCTCGAGTGATCTACATTAAAAACACTTCGCTTCTGCCGGTTGCATGGCGCCTCAATGGAGTGGAGGCTCTGGGAGAAGACTTCTCAATGAGTCAGGAACAGGGCATCATAGATCCTAAGAAGGAGTTCCCACTCACATGTCACTTCAGGGGTCTCAAACCAACCAACGTGCGGAAGATGATCAGATTGGAGGTATGCCTCGTTTTTTAAGTTTACGCTTGATAATTTAGTTACTATCATTTGAGAATTAAGGCAGCTGTTGGTTTTTGGCGGCGTCAAAGATACAGCTAGGCCGTGAACATTTGTTACAAGTACAGCTTTATGCAGTAGTGCATTTAGCCCCCCCCCCCTTCTCAGAGTTCGACCACCTGACCACTCAAAGGGACCTCTTTTTGGTGCTATTTTATTGCATCAGTTATTGGTCAACCAACCCTAAAATTTGCCCTAAATTTTGCCTGTTCTATCTTAGGTATCAGATAAAGACCAGATTATGGGCTTGGTGCAGCTGGAGAACCTTCAGATCACTGCCGAGGCCTATGACGTCGCTTTGGACATGAGTTTCCCGAAGGGCACCGAGGGCGGCATAGACTTTGGTACGAACAGGGTGGGCGAGACAGTGAAACAGACGCTCAGTCTGAAAAACAAGGGCAAATACGACTGTGGATTCCTGTGAGTCAATTTTAATTATATAATCAGAAACCAATTACTAAGAGTGAAATAACTCTGTCAGTTCCGTTTAAAATCATGGCCATACAATTTACCTTCGTGGAACGATACAAGAGGCAAAGTAGCAGAAGTTCCGTTTACAGGTCCAAAAAAGTAAAAAGCAAACAACATTAAATCAAAAAGATCCTAGTTTATCAGTTTTCCAATGGACATAAGTACTCGTTGATTTCATACCCAGAGTCGCAAAAAAAGAGCTTCGCTCAACAAAATAACTCAGTCTAGAATGTGGGGAAATAAGAGAAATGCACTTTGCTTAGAAAGGCTGCAAAGCTTTTCATAGATCCTCTGCGAATCGCAGGAACGACAATTATTATACCATAAATACATTCTTGTTTATTTCTCTGTTCAGACTGACAGTGGAACATGAGGGTCCATATGCGAGTGAGATGGACAAGTTGTTCCAAGTGTACCCTGCCAAGGGGTCTCTACTCCCCAATGACAGACCCACCACTGTCCAGATTACATTCGTGTCCAGCTCCGAAGTCCAAATCGACAACCTGCCTCTCATCAAGTGCAACGTAAGAAGTTGCAATTAACTTTAATTATTATCATCTTCGTTTATTTAATTAAGACTTAAGAATGTTTAAATTGTGCTAGGAATAAACGAAGAGCATCTATTTAGTCACGCATTATAAAATCAAAAGTTTTCAAATTTTGGTTCGAAAAACTTTTTTTCTAGCTTTTTTTTAAAAGTGAAATGCAATTTAAGGATTATTGACTATTTTTTGGTATAACTCAGGGGCGAATGCGGATTTAGGGGAGGGGGGGGGGCGGACACCCCTTCTCAGGGATTCGACCCAAATGGTCCCCCTTTTGTACTATTTTGAGATATCCATTTTTTGGTGACGGACCCTAAATGTTTTACGAAGGCGCCTTTGGCGCTAATATATTCTAATTTTGAGGGGGCAGCGCACGCCGAAAAAAAACGGGATTTTTTGGTCGAATTTTGCAAAAAGTGCCTAAAAACGCCTTTCTTGTCCTGTTTTTTCAAAATTTTGCCTGCGGGGCTGAAGATTTTGCCAAAACAGGGTTTTTGTAGTGCTTGGGGAGAGCTCGGAAAATCAATTTGGTCGACCTAAAAAAAAGTCGACAAAATTTTTGAAGTTTTTTTGAAAGTCCCCCCCCCCTCTCGAGAAAATCTTAGATCCGCCCCCCTGGTATAATGGTATAATTTACTTTTTTCTTTGCAATGGTTTGACGTACTCCTAAGCAGTGCATACTTACTATACTTTTGATCACTCTATTTCTGTTATAGATAATGGACCCTAACTTGGGCCCGTCTGGCGAGACTATTGCCTGCATTCCCATCAAAATAGCAGTGAGAGCTCTCTACAGTCGCTATGCACTCCTGCCTCAGACAGACATAGACTTCGGCTCAGTGATTGTGAACTCGAAGAAACAGTTGCAGTTCGCCATCGAGAACAAGGGAGAGTTCGAGTTCAAGTTCAACATCTCCAAGCCAACGCCAGAGGATCAATTCCTGCCTACCAACAGTAAAGGAAAGAGGTAAAATATTTCAATATGGCAAGCTACTTTACTTTTCCACGAAAGCTACCCTCATGAGAGCTTTTAATGTTTTAATGAAATAATTCCAACATTACAGGTTTTTCAGACCTGCAACAGTCGAAAATCATAATGGTGCATTTAAAAAGGCGGAATCATTTAAAACAGCTAAGAATTAGTATCTGCATGAATGCCATTTTTGGTGGTTCAGCACTTCGCTTTTACTCGATCATGAAACTTACCATTTTTAGACTTAAAAATCTTGATTTTTGCCATTTTCCAGATTCTAGTCCTAATTGCAAATTGAATTGCTCAAATTTATCATCTACAACGTAATAAAAACGAAAACCAAAATTATTTTCTGACATTTCTAGACGGTTTCGACTCCATTCGGCTACAAGTTTATCCGAGTCATCCCTGACGTCCCGTTCAGAGTCAGTATCAAAGTCCACCATTTCCGTAAAGGAGAATTTGATCTCAAAGTGTGTCGTAACATATATCTCTCTAAAGCGTCACATTGCATACCTGATTGATGGTGATTTTGATTGAACTGAGAATATTGCATGTAGAGCAGATAATTCAAAGCTTGTTCCCACTTAGCTTAGGTTACACTTAAAATCTTAAGTCCCGTGGAGTCATATTTTTATGGTCATGAGAATTTGTTTTGATTGTTTTGTTTTTTCAAGTCGTTTAAAGTTTGATGAAGTTAAATACGTCCCAGCTGTAGCGCTGATATGATAAATATCTTCCATTTGTTGCATTCATGGTTTTGCATATTGTGCTTTTGTTGAATTTTTTTAATACTCAGTGTGTTTTATTCACGTGTGCACTTTTTACATATATTCTTGGGTAAAAATATGGGAATTTTTTCACGTTTTTAGCGACTCTTTCAAAGCGGGACGGTCTGTGGAGACAACCAGTGCCACCGCTAGATCTGCGAACAACAAGAGTGCTCTATCGAAGTCTACGGGCAAAAACGGTGACATGAATGCGATGGGTCCAGGAGCTTCTTCCGGCCCTGCAATACAGACACTGGCAGGGGCCAAACTGCTCACAGGACCATTCACTATCAACCCCGCTTTTGGAGTAGTGCTTCCCAAAGCACAGCAGGTAACGCTGGACTCTTTGTTATATATCGAACAGATATGAGCAGTTCCTTTGTGTCTATTACCCAGTCCACATTAAATTGGACTAAAATGTATAATCATGGCCCAACTGGGGTTATCTAAGTAGAGCATAAAGTCTCGTAGGTTTGCCATCTTTCTCATGAATAAATGGGTTAATCCTGGGTGTGAATGTATAGGTGATTCAAGTGGAATGTATTCCGGACGCAGTTTGCCGACTGGACGAGGAGTTCGCGATCGACATCTCGGACAGGGAACCGATGGACCACCCGGAGGGGGTGCCCTACCACATCGTGGCAGATGCAGTGGTGCCTGGATTCAGCACTGAGGACACCCAGTCTATCTTTGAAGAACATCTCCTCTGTCAGAGTCTGGCTCTCTTCCTCAAAACTAACAGAGTGAGTAAGATCGACAGTACTCGGCTGTTTTGATAAACATATATACGTTTAAAACAATTTATTCCAGACATAAACGTAAGGCAAACTTGCCGCTTTTGAAAAACAGTTGTGCGCCTGTTTTTGACTTTTGACTCAGATAACATAATGTGTTCTCAATCAGGGGCGGATTTAGGGGGCGGGGGCGGAAGCCCCCATCCCCTCAGGGATTCGACCCCCTGCCGACCCAAAGGGTCCCCCTTTGGTACTTTTTAAGAAATCCATTTTTGGCCGACCGCCTTTTCTGGACTTTTTTCAAAATCTTTGGACACCTTTTTTTGGACTTTTTTCAAAATTTTGCCTGCGGCGCAGAAAATTTGGCCAAAACTGACAAAACCGTGCTCAGGGAGAGCTCGAAAAATCAATTCGGTCGACCTAAAAAAAAGAGTCGACAAAACTTTCGAAAATTTTTTGAAAATCCGCTCCCCCCTCGATAAAGTCCTAGATCCACCCCTGATCTCAATCACAATCTTTGTATTGCAACCAAAAGTAAAGAGTCTGCGCCAGGAAGCCTATACTCATTCAAGTTTTTTCAATTTTTCCGTTAGCATGCTGTAGGCGAACCTGAGCAAAATTTGAACGGCAGTCATGTTTGCTATTGGTCAATGTGATATCGTAATACTCTATCTATAGTTATCTTAGTTCACTGCGTATGTTCACTGGGTTTGTTCACTGCAGGTGGAGCACATGCAAGGCATCTTCTGTGAGGGCGAGAACAAATTCGTGTTCCTCAATGTGGTAGTGGGGAAGACAGCCAAAGCCAGATTCAAGATCACCAACCCACACAAGGTACATTTGTAGATTGTACAAATCACCGATTTTTGTTTCGGTCACCAAAGCTATGTTCGGCAGATAAAAATCTCCAAAGACACTAATTTTTGAAAATTTGTTTTTAATCCGACTACTTAAGTCTCTGAGGTGTTTTTTTTAAAGTTAAGTGTGGCTGAGTATTGCAAGGTGAAAAAGGTGACTTCGGAAAAAGTTTTAGAAAAAGGAAATCTCAAATATAACTTATTGCAGCCCTGTCATGATTCGATAAAAGTTTAACTTTTAGCTTTTCATGCTGTATAATGGCTCTTTCAATGGCGCCAAAGCAGCCAACTTTTGCAAAAAAAAACTAAAAAATGGACATTACAGCTGTGAGTTAATAGCTCTTGGGCATCGTTCTTTTCATTTGAGTCCCCCTTGCCAAAAAAAGGTGAATTCGAAAAAAAGAAAAAGGAAATCTAAAGTATTCCATATGATTTACAAAAATTGTTGAAGTCGGTCGGAATTTTTGTGCTACTTGCAAAATAACTGACTTTTATTGTTTTTGAATCGACTTTACCCTTGCAATAAGCAAGGGTATTGCAATTGGATACTAGACTTTTTTCACGTAAATTACCTTGCTCACCGGAGCTCCAGTTTTAAGATCTCCTATCCAATCTCGCTAAATTGCACGCCAGCACAATTTTGCCAAATTGCACTGTTGAGAGCTGGTCTAAAGCTACTGGAGCGATACTAGAACTACAGTTGAAACAATTTTCAAAAATAAATAGATTTTTATGTCGGCTTCATTGAATTCGTCCCAACTTTTGTGGGCTTACTTGCCGGGTGCTTTATTTCTTTTTTTTTGAAGATCTGGTAGAATTATTATTTTTCTTCATTTTCATGAGTGTAATTATAATTTTGGTGTTCTGATTTAATACCCCACAAAACTTGCTGTTAGAAGGTGAAAATATTTTGAAATTAAACAATTCATTGAACTTTCATTATTTCGAATGCATAGTTTCTGGTGTATTTTTAAAATCTAAAAACACGTAAATTTTTTTTGTTTTTATTGTTTTTGTTGTTTTGGGATTGATCAATTTTATTTGAAATCAATTCAAGTTGGCGGAAAAGCATTTGTTTCACAATGTGAAAAACAAATTTCATTCAAAAATTTTTCATACATTTCCGTTTTTCTTGCAGTTTGGTTTTGAATCTTTTTTCATTATATCGAATGTCGCAAGTATTGTACGAGATTACGATTTTTGGTTTTTCGTTGAAGTTAAAAAAATTGAATTTTCGTGTTTCTTTATTTCTTTTACGGGCGTCTCCTTTCATCATCTTTCCTCCTTTGTGAATAATTGTTCTCTTAACGTTGCGTGCCAACTTCATATTTGATGGAATTGGATAATTTATAAGCTTTCAGAGTTTTTTCAAGTTATTTGCAAATTATTTTTTGTGGCAGTTCAAGTTTTTTTGTTGCAATTGATTGATTTTTTTGATTCGATGATTCGATAAAAGTTTAACTTTTAGCTTTTCATGCTGTTTAATGGCTCTTTCAATGGCGCCAAAGCAGCCAACTTTTGCAAAAAAAACTAAAAAATGGACTTTACAGCTGTGAGTTAATAGCTCTTGGGGCATCGTTCTTTTCCTTTGAGTCCCCCTCGCCAAAAAAGGTGACTTTGGAAAAAAGAAAAAGGAAATCTAAAGTATTCCATATGATTTACAAAAATTGTTGAAGTCGGTCGGAATTTTTGTGCTACTTGCAAAATAACTGACTTTTATTGTTTTTGAATCGACTTTACCCTTGCAATAAGCAAGGGTATTGCAATTGGATACTAGACTTTTTTCACGTAAATTACCTTGCTCACCGGAGCTCCAGTTTTAAGATCTCCCTTTCCAATCTCGCTAAATTGCACGCCAGCACAATTTTGCCAAATTGCACTGTTGAGAGCTGGTCTAAAGCTACTGGAGCGATACTAGAACTACAGTTGAAACAATTTTCAAAAATAAATAGATTTTTATGTCGGCTTCATTGAATTCGTCCCAACTTTTGTGGGCTTACTTGCCGGGTGCTTTATTTCTTTTTTTTGAAGATCTGGTAGAATTATTATTTTTCTTCATTTTCATGAGTGTAATTATAATTTTGGTGTTCTGATTTAATACCCCACAAAACTTGCTGTTAGAAGGTGAAAATATTTTGAAAATAAACAATTCATTGAACTTTCATTATTTCGAATGCATAGTTTCTGGTGTATTTTTAAAATCTAAAAACACGTAAATTTTTTTTGTTTTTATTGTTTTTGTTGTTTTGGGATTGATCAATTTTATTTGAAATCAATTCAAGTTGGCGGAAAAGCATTTGTTTCACAATGTGAAAAACAAAATTCATTCAAAAATTTTTCATACATTTCCGTTTTTCTTGCAGTTTGGTTTTGAATCTTTTTTCATTATATCGAATGTCGCAAGTATTGTACGAGATTACGATTTTTGGTTTTTCGTTGAAGTTAAAAAAATTGAATTTTCGTGTTTCTTTATTTCTTTTACGGGCGTCTCCTTTCATCATCTTTCCTCCTTTGTGAATAATTGTTCTCTTAACGTTGCGTACCAACTTCATATTTGATGGAATTGGATAATTTATAAGCTTTCAGAGTTTTTTCAAGTTATTTGCAAATTATTTTTTTGTGGCAGTTCAAGTTTTTTTGTTGCAATTGATTGATTTTTTTGATTCGATGATTCGATAAAAGTTTAACTTTTAGCTTTTCATGCTGTTTAATGGCTCTTTCAATGGCGCCAAAGCAGCCAACTTTTGCAAAAAAAACTAAAAAATGGACTTTACAGCTGTGAGTTAATAGCTCTTGGGGCATCGTTCTTTTCCTTTGAGTCTCCCTCGCCAAAAAAGGTGACTTCGGAAAAAAGAAAAAGGAAATCTAAAGTATTCCATATGATTTACAAAAATTGTTGAAGTCGGTCGGAATTTTTGTGCTACTTGCAAAATAACTGACTTTTATTGTTTTTGAATCGACTTTACCCTTGCAATAAGCAAGGGTATTGCAATTGGATACTAGACTTTTTTCACGTAAATTACCTTGCTCACTGGAGCTCCAGTTTTAAGATCTCCCTTTCCAATCTCGCTAAATTGCACGCCAGCACAATTTTGCCAAATTGCACTGTTGAGAGCTGGTCTAAAGCTACTGGAGCGATACTAGAACTACAGTTGAAACAATTTTCAAAAATAAATAGATTTTCATGTCGGCTTCATTGAATTCGTCCCAACTTTTGTGGGCTTACTTGCCGGGTGCTTTATTTCTTTTTTTTTGAAGATCTGGTAGAATTATTATTTTTCTTCATTTTCATGAGTGTAATTATAATTTTGGTGTTCTGATTTAATACCCCACAAAACTTGCTGTTAGAAGGTGAAAATATTTTGAAATTAAACAATTCATTGAACTTTCATTATTTCGAATGCATAGTTTCTGGTGTATTTTTAAAATCTAAAAACACGTAAATTTTTTTTGTTTTTATTGTTTTTGTTGTTTTGGGATTGATCAATTTTATTTGAAATCAATTCAAGTTGGCGGAAAAGCATTTGTTTCACAATGTGAAAAACAAAATTCATTCAAAAATTTTTCATTTATTTCCGTTTTTCTTGCAGTTTGGTTTTGAATCTTTTTTCATTATATCGAATGTCGCAAGTATTGTACGAGATTACGATTTTTGGTTTTTCGTTGAAGTTAAAAAAATTGAATTTTCGTGTTTCTTTATTTCTTTTACGGGCGTCTCCTTTCATCATCTTTCCTCCTTTGTGAATAATTGTTCTCTTAACGTTGCGTACCAACTTCATATTTGATGGAATTGGATAATTTATAAGCTTTCAGAGTTTTTTCAAGTTATTTGCAAATTATTTTTTTGTGGCAGTTCAAGTTTTTTTGTTGCAATTGATTGATTTTTTTGATTCGATGATTCGATAAAAGTTTAACTTTTAGCTTTTCATGCTGTTTAATGGCTCTTTCAATGGCGCCAAAGCAGCCAACTTTTGCAAAAAAAAAACTAAAAAATGGACTTTACAGCTGTGAGTTAATAGCTCTTGGGGCATCGTTCTTTTCCTTTGAGTCTCCCTCGCCAAAAAAGGTGACTTCGGAAAAAAGAAAAAGGAAATCTAAAGTATTCCATATGATTTACAAAAATTGTTGAAGTCGGTCGGAATTTTTGTGCTACTTGCAAAATAACTGACTTTTATTGTTTTTGAATCGACTTTACCCTTGCAATAAGCAAGGGTATTGCAATTGGATACTAGACTTTTTTCACGTAAATTACCTTGCTCACTGGAGCTCCAGTTTTAAGATCTCCCTTTCCAATCTCGCTAAATTGCACGCCAGCACAATTTTGCCAAATTGCACTGTTGAGAGCTGGTCTAAAGCTACTGGAGCGATACTAGAACTACAGTTGAAACAATTTTCAAAAATAAATAGATTTTCATGTCGGCTTCATTGAATTCGTCCAACTTTTGTGGGCTTACTTGCCGGGTGCTTTATTTCTTTTTTTTGAAGATCTGGTAGAATTATTATTTTTCTTCATTTTCATGAGTGTAATTATAATTTTGGTGTTCTGATTTAATACCCCACAAAACTTGCTGTTAGAAGGTGAAAATATTTTGAAATTAAACAATTCATTGAACTTTCATTATTTCGAATGCATAGTTTCTGGTGTATTTTTAAAATCTAAAAACACGTAAATTTTTTTTGTTTTTATTGTTTTTGTTGTTTTGGGATTGATCAATTTTATTTGAAATCAATTCAAGTTGGCGGAAAAGCATTTGTTTCACAATGTGAAAAACAAAATTCATTCAAAACTTTTTCATACATTTCCGTTTTTCTTGCAGTTTGGTTTTGAATGTTTTTTCATTATATCGAATGTCGCAAGTATTGTACGAGATTACGATTTTTGGTTTTTCGTTGAAATTAAAAAAAAATGAATTTTCGTGTTTCTTTATTTCTTTTACGGGCGTCTCCTTTCATCATCTTTCCTCCTTTGTGAATAATTGTTCTCTTAACGTTGCGTACCAACTTCATATTTGATGGAATTGGATAATTTTATAAGCTTTCAGAGTTTTTTCAAGTTATTTGCAAATTATTTTTTTGTGGCAGTTCAAGTTCTTTTGTTGCAATTGATTGATTTTTTTGATTCGATGATTCGATAAAAGTTTAACTTTTAGCTTTTCATGCTGTATAATGGCTCTTTCAATGGCGCCAAAGCAGCCAACTTTTGCAAAAAAAAACTAAAAAATGGACTTTACAGCTGTGAGTTAATAGCTCTTGGGGCATCGTTCTTTTCCTTTGAGTCCCCCTTGCCAAAAAAGGTGACTTCGGAAAAAAGAAAAAGTTAATCTAAAGTATTCCATATGATTTACAAAAATTGTTGAAGTCGATCGGAATTTTTGTGCTACTTGCAAAATAACTGACTTTTATTGTTTTTGAATCGACTTTACCCTTGCAATAAGCAAGGGTATTGCAATTGGATACTAGACTTTTTTCACGTAAATTACCTTGCTCACCGGAGCTCCAGTTTTAAGATCTCCCTTTCCAATCTCGCTAAATTGCACGCCAGCACAATTTTGCCAAATTGCACTGTTGAGAGCTGGTCTAAAGCTACTGGAGCGATACTAGAACTACAGTTGAAACATTTTTCAAAAATAAATAGATTTTCATGTCGGCTTCATTGAATTCGTCCCAACTTTTGTGGGCTTACTTGCCGGGTGCTTTATTTCTTTTTTTTGAAGATCTGGTAGAATTATTATTTTTCTTCATTTTCATGAGTGTAATTATAATTTTGGTGTTCTGATTTAATGCCCCACAAAACTTGCTGTTAGAAGGTGAAAATATTTTGAAATTAAACAATTCATTGAACTTTCATTATTTCGAATGCATAGTTTCTGGTGTATTTTTAAAATCTAAAAACACGTAAATTTTTTTTGTTTTTATTGTTTTTGTTGTTTTGGGATTGATCAATTTTATTTGAAATCAATTCAAGTTGGCGGAAAAGCATTTGTTTCACAATGTGAAAAACAAAATTCATTCAAAAATTTTTCATACATTTCCGTTTTTCTTGCAGTTTGGTTTTGAATCTTTTTTCATTATATCGAATGTCGCAAGTATTGTACGAGATTACGATTTTTGGTTTTTCGTTGAAATTAAAAAAATTGAATTTTCGTGTTTCTTTATTTCTTTTACGGGCGTCTCCTTTCATCATCTTTCCTCCTTTGTGAATAATTGTTCTCTTAACGTTGCGTACCAACTTCATATTTGATGGAATTGAATAATTTTATAAGCTTTCAGAGTTTTTTCAAGTTATTTGCAAATTATTTTTTTGTGGCAGTTCAAGTTTTTTGTTGCAATTGATTGATTTTTTTGCATTCTTTTTTTCGATTTTTTTTGTCTTGTTTTTCATCAGCAAATAAGGGCAAGGGCTTTTTCTTGCCCCATATGTTTCTGTGGGATATTTAAGTTGGGTGATTGCGAAATTTTGAGCAATGTTTTGGCATGAAACAAAGAAATGGATTTTGTGTAGCCCGAATCATTTTTATTTGTTAGGTTATTGATTTTTCTAACAATTGCAACACGATTATTTTGTATTTTTTAATCATGCATTAAAATTTCTTATAAAGTTTTATCTCTTCATTTGAGACACACTATCTTTTCATTTTAAACATTTTGTTTTGAATCGCTATTGGTGGGAAACTCAGCTTTGCCGCTGTGTTGAAATTAAATTTACGATTTATATCAAAACTGACTGTTTGCTTGATCCAAAAGTTTTTATTACGTCAACTATTCGAGTTTAAACTTTAAATTTGAAAAAAAACTTGTCATTGACAATGCGTGAGGTCAATGAAGAGGACGATAAAACCTAATTAATAAATAAGTAGCTTGAGAAAAACAAAATGTCCATAATTGTTCAATAGGTTGTTTCATAAAAGTTAACCAATGATAATTAAAACGAAGTGTTTTACCCTTGCAATAAGGCAGGGTATTTAATCGGGTGATAGACTTTTTCCCGCAAAAAACTTTTCACAGCACTCATATGGACTCCTGGTGGTTCTTTGCTTCAAAATTTATTTCGTAGTGTCTCTTGTGCACTTAGCCTGGAGATAACGAATACGCCTTTGACCGCAAAGATCCTGGGCTCGAATCTGACCAGGACCTGTTTTTTTTCAAACGGGAATTGTTCTGTTTCCAATAAAATTGTCGGCCCAATATTGTCTGCTAATGGTTTGTCAGCCTAGTTGCCATATCTATCAATCGTTTATTTTTGTCGTAAACGATTTTCAATGTTTTAGCATTTCAAAAATCCGACAGAATTTTTGAAGTTCCAACATTACATTGGTTATGTTTTAACTAAATCCATTTGTTAAAAATTCGTTATTTTTCAATTTCTTGGCTCAATCGGTTTCGGTTTATTTTATATCGACTTAGAAGCATCTTGCTGCGTTGTTTGATGATCGGAAAACTTTTTTGTATGCGTGTATATTCTGAGGGGAAGGGGACTTAAAAACTTTTTATTGGTTTTGACTTTTTTTTGCGTTTTTATGACGAATTTCTTCAGGTATTTTCGGTTTTGTTGCCGCGTAGTAAGTTTTTGTTCCGAGTCTCGTTTAGATTTCTGTTGTCCTGGAATATTGTTTTTTGAAAACTATCTTCATTCAATTTGATGGATCTAGCTTGATGGATATAGTTATAAACTATCGGTTTTAGTTTTTGTACTGATGGTGTTTTTTGTCTCTATGGTTCTCGAGTAAGATCTCAGTTTAGTTTTTGATTATGTATACAACCTTATGTTGAAAATTGATACAAAATTCCGATCTTATTTATGAGATTGATAAGACTTTGGTTCCAAAGTTAAATTTTCGAATGCTCAGTTTCAGCCGTATTTGGAATTATTTGAAGTTCTTGATTTATTTTTGTTTTTATAGTTCTGTATTCAACGGTTACAACGTTCGAAGTCCTCTTTGATAGTTCTTGAGCCTCTTGCTGTTTTAATCCTATACTTGCTGTATCGCAAGTGGTGCGAAGCGTAGCTTCGCCACTCTGTTTGATTTGGAGTGATGAAAATCTCCTTCAATTCAGGTCAAGTGTGAAGTTTCCTTTGTGATCACTTCTGGAAACAGCAGCAGCGGTGGGAACGCCTCCCCCTCCAAAAAATCCAATAGTCCCGACGTGTTTGATATGGAGATGAAGAAAGCACTCATCCAGCCGCATAGTTCCTACTCTGCAGAAGTCACCTTCAGACCCACTTCGATGAGTCAGTTCTGGGGTAGTTTTGAGGCGGTGGTCGAAGGATTGCCCACCTCTCTGAGTCAAAAGTTTAAACCTCTGTCGTTTGAGTTGTTCGGAGAAGGAAATCTGCCAAAGGTATCCACAATTTTTGGAGTTCTTAGCCTGTCTTTTTAAAACTTTTTATTAACCTAAAGCACTATTATACAATTAAAAGCAATACACACTAATTATGGCGCGATTAGCTGTTTTGAAAACAGTATTCAAATTTTTTTGTTAGAAACGCAATATGAAGCACGATACAATGGTTTAAATCAGAGCAAAAAAATTAAAATTAAAAAAATATATATTGAAAATAGTTGGTCTTGTGCAAGTGTTTAGTTTGCAGAAAAGAGACTAATGAATAAACTGAAACTCATTTAGTTCACATTTTCATTTTCAGGTGAGTGTTTTGAAGCCGAGCGTGAAGAACAAGAAGGGACTGCCTGTGTTAATGTACAGACGTCTTCTGATTGGACAAGAGCAGAAACAGCAGATAGTGTTGGTGAATGATGGCAACTTGAAGAGCACCATCTTTGTGGACCTGGTCGACGAAAGCGGAGTATTTGACATACAACAGGTACTATTCGACATACAACGCAAAAAAACGGCCTTGAGTCGCATAAAAAAGAGCTTCGCTCAACAAAAATAACATAGTCTGGAATGTGGGGAGATAATACAAATGGACTATCCTCAACAGGACTGTTAAGGCCTACTGATAGCTCCTCTGCGATTCGCAGGAACTACATTGTTATAACAGGTACTATAACTAACGCAACTCGAAACATTCAAAAAACTTCTCCCTGATTGCAAATGATGGCACATCGATTTCTTGAATTATTATGCTTTCTTAAGTTCAAAATAATTCTCTACAGCTGGGAAAAGTTAATTGGTACCAAAGGGGAGTAGTCAACTTCATACTTTGTGTGTATGTGGGAATGATAGTTTGTCAATTAAATGGAAATGATAGTTAATGGTGAAAATTGTGCTCAATAAATTTTCTCAATTTTCATAGTTTGGCTTTCTTCATTAATGATCCGACCTTTTTGTAAAGTGGCAAGGAAAAATGGCTTCGGGCTGATTATCTTCTCGCAAAATCAGATATCTCGAAGAAAGCTCATAGGGTATCTTTTGTGGTATCATAAAAAGCCCTTTCTGTCGGGATTTGGATATCAAAATAAACTCAAATCAAAAACTTATGCATACTTTTTCTGGGTCGAGGAAAATTGTTCGGAGTATTTCCGTTTTTCACTCTGATCTTCAAAATCATGAGCGTATAAAATCATTCCATCCGAATTTTTAGATGGTGTTTTATGCACAATGAGCTTGCGAGCGTATTGTTATAAGATCCGTTCACTTTCAAAAGCAAGGTAAAACTGCTTTTAACATTTTAAGGTACCGTTTTTGTGTTAATTAAACAGAATGATATTGTTATATCCGTTTTATTGTTCCGACTTTCGAAAAGGACGAAATGATTTAGCTGGTATTCTTTAAATTTAGGCCAATTTCGACTTTTTTATCAACGGTTTTTGATGAAATTGTTTTATACAGCCTGAAATATGTTGATGCTTCAAGCTCAAAATTAAAAAGATAATGAGATTCATCTGCGCCATTTTAAAAAAAAAAATTATGTTTAATAATTGTAATTCTGGGCCCTTAATGCGCGCTGTAATTCTGCAATAATTCATGCGCGTGCTGTGCTGTATTTCTCTTAGCTCATAGCTGTATTAATTTGGCTCAGGAAGCACTCCAAATTGAACTGATAATAGCTAATTGGTACAATTAACGCTAGCATGATGAAAGTTATATCACTTGGTATGCTTAATCTCGCGTTTATGAGGAAGATTTGTCAAAATCTACATCCAAAAGTTTCATTTTTTTCTCAAAACTACTGCAGATGCCCTCAATGGCAATCGGAAGGCTCGGGGTTTTGCAATGATGCATGAGATGTTGTTAAAGTGAATTTCTGACTACTGGCGACTTTTGTCAAAGTGTTTGGAGCGGTAGTATAACTACAAAATTTTGATGGCGACTAAGTTGCTCCTTTTGTGTACAATAAGAAAAATAACAGCAAGGAGTCTCAGATGACCGAATTGCGCTTTTTTGTTCCGACTTTCGGTTTTGTTAATTTTCGGCGATCGAAATAGTTTTAACAATTTTTTATACCCCATTGAAGATATCGACCACCTGAAATCAAATTTAATAAGATGTTTTACCTTCGATCATTTTTTGCAGAGTTATGGGAATTTGAAATTAAACAATTTGGGCATGCTCTGGACTAATTTATGCGTGCTATGAAGATGTTATTCATAATGCTGAAAGAGTAACCCGAATTATTGTTCCGAATTTCGATACGAAAGTAACGGAATATTTGTGCTCGGGGTGGGTTTTTTTTCTTCAGACAAATTTCGACTTTTTAACTAGCCATTTTTGACGGAATTTTATTATATCATTTAAAACGTATTGTTGTCCTGAGGTCAAATTTGAAAAGATATTTCCCCTGTGATCATTTTTCGTAAAGTTATGAGGGTTTAAAGATTTTGACCAATTTGGGACAATTAACGCGCGATATTTTTCGCGCTATTAACGCGTAAGCGGAGATTTAATCCGTCTTAGATTCGTTCCAAATTGGTTGAACGAAGCTTATTTGCCATAATTGATTTGTTACAAGGAACGAAATCTATCCTTTTGTACTTTATATGGCGTATGGGGGGGATGATTTTCATAAAAAATATTACAAATTTTAAAAAAAAATTTAATTTTTATTTATTTCATTTAATTTTTTTATATTATTACTGCTCCATAAGCCTTAAAAGGCAGTCGGAACATTCAGGGCTTCGCCCTGATACGAGCAGTCTTGTTTATCGTTCCAAATTGAATTGAGGCTAGTTAATTGGTTGTATTAATTGTGTACGTTTCAATTTTTCACAAATGAGTTTTGATATTGTCCAAAATTTATAATTTTTCAATATTTTCTTTTCCCAAAAACTATTCTATATGGGTTAAGGGTAGTCGGAACATTCAGGGATTTGCCCTGTATACGAGCAGTCTTGTTGAACAGTAGATTTTTCCTAATTCATTTTTGTGGTGTTTTAGCTATCTAAAAACGAAAGCGTTTATGAAGCTGGAGAAGAATCAACTCCTCACAAATTCGGGTTGATTCTCAATGTGGGCGAGCAGGCTTCATTCGACGTCCTCTTCTCTCCAATAGACGCCGTACGGTTCTTTGGTTCAGTCAAAGTATCCTTAGTTGACAATCCCTTCGAAGACGCTTCAATAGTCCTGCTAGGAGAGGGTTATATGGAAGATATAACATTGGAGAATGTCCATACTGTTAAAGACGACTCATTGTCGGCATCCGCATTTTCGGCAGCCAATCAGAACTCTGAAGATGAGGATGAATCGGATAATGACGTCATTGATGACTCAGATGCAGGTTAATTTCCGCCTCTGCATTTAAAAAATTGCATATGCCCATTTGTTAGAAATCGAAATTCCATTTTGATGTCTAATCTTAAGCAAATCGTTTCAAAATAAATCATAAATTATCTTTATTTTCAAATGTTTCTTTGAATTTTTCCCAGCTGTTACTCCAGTGGATGACAAGAGTCGATCCCGCTCCCCCTCTCTAGCCAGTGTGCGTTTGGGGGAGCAACGTGCCTCTAACTCGCACTCCACTTCCCAATTTTTGACTCCACTCCTTCCCCCCTCGGGGTCGGATGGAGGCAAGAGGGATAGTCTTCACGCTGAAATGTTCTCTCACTGTTAGTAGAGAACTGATGTCTTTCCTCGCGACCTCTGCATCATCCATTCATAACGTTTTATTCATTTTGTCATGCAATTAATTGTAGGGATTTCTCAGTCCAGAATGGTTTCGACATACGACAGTTTGTTCTGAAAAAATTACAATTCGTTACTTGTTCAAGGGTTGAAAATGCGAAAGAAGTAAGACACTCATTCATTCCGTCGTAATATTCCGAGCTTTTCTGAACATTGGGCCGTGACGAGTTTTTTTTTGTCAATTTAGCTCCTAAATTTTTTGGAATATGAGGTTTTTTTTTATGTAATCTCAAAAGTATTGTTTTTGTGAGCTATGTTACGCACATTAGTGAAAGCTTCTAAAAGTTCGACCGTGAAGCTTGCTCAGTTGTTCTATGACGAATAACTGATCAAGAAATACTGAAACATAGCTGGTAGAAGTCAAAATCGGGCCTCGTGAGGTGCGATACAATTTTTTGGGGGTGCGGTACAAAATTTTTTCTTTGTTTGTTTTTCGTACCCAATAATGTATCCCAAAATATCATGTTCTTTATTTGCTGACTCACAACTGGAAGCAAATTAATATTTTCGTTGAATTAGGCAAAGAGTTGGTTGGCACTGGTATCTCGGGCTTCAAATTGCTCGTTGAAGTCCAGATAAAAACTGGGCATAAAAGTTTGCTGCGAAATCTGTAATAAAGTGTGCTTCAAATTGTACTGCATGATCATGTGATTTATTCAAGTATGTTTGTCTCATGCCTGTATAAACTTTCCCATTTCATTTAAAACACGAACAGTTAATCACCACTTTATTAAAGGCAGTTGTTTTAAGGCCCCTGCTTAGTCTGAGGTTCAGAAGTAAACTGAGTGTGACGTTGCATGTGGATTGTGCTTTAGTGTTCCTCTACAACCATCTTGGATTCGGAAACGTGTTTGTGGGTGCCAAGAGGAGTCTCGTGTTCAGCCTGGTCAACCACTCCACCTGCTGCTATCGATTCTCTCTCCCCGCAGACCACGCCCACTTGAAGTTCTCCCCTGCAGAGGGACACCTGCACCCATCCTGCTCCAAAGATGTCACTGCCGTTTTCTCTTCCGACAGTCCGGTGCAGTTGGACAGACAGCAGATCCAAATCAAGGCTAATATGATTGAGTTCACAGCCCCAATGGAAGAGGTAAGAAATATATAATTCAGACGAGCAACTTTCGGCGAAGTGACAGTTTTTGCGCACAGTTTTTAACTATCTTTACTATTTAGTGCTAAGTTGGTCTTATAATGCTTAAACAAATCGAAAAAAAGCAAAAAAAAATCTTGCTCAGAATATTTCAAATTGAATTGAGGCAGTGGGTTACTTGGCGAAAATTATTTCATTCAGTACTTGGAATTAAAAGAGGGGTGATATGATGAAAAAATGCTTTAAATTTTGAAATTTTTTTGTTCATTGCCAATTTAGGATAATTAAATAGCACTGTTGTTGACTGTTAGTGTGTGTCTGTGTCTGTGTGTGTGTGTGCGCGCGTGTGGTGAGCTAAATTGTAACTTATAAACAGGCCAAAAATAAGTTTGTACTAGTTACAGACTAGTTATGTAGCAGTTACGAAATTCATACGAAGTTTCAGTCAAATGAAGTAAATTTTGGCTGATTGATTTTTTCGTGGTGACATAAGTGGGTTTGAATTTCGGCTGGTTTATTCAACTTGAGCTTAAATATTCCAAATTGAGTTGAGGCAACTTAATTTCTCTAAAATACTTGTGTTACTCAATGAGCATCATATCACTTTGTTCTTGACAATGCGCGTGGGGCATACGTGCTTGGGGGAAAGAGTTAGTAACTATAAAAACTTTTAAATGGTTATGATATAAAATAAACGAGTGCAAATACTTTAAAGGGCTTTTTTGTCCTGATATCAGCAGTCTTGCTTTTTGTTTCGACGGAATGTTTGTGCTCGGGTTGGTTTTTTGAGTTTTGTGCAATCCATTTTTTCAGAATTTTTTATACCATCTGAAAGCTAGTAATATCTTGAGCTCGACTATAAAAAAGTGTTCGTGTGATTATTTTCATAAAGTTCCTGTTTGATAAAAACTGAAACTAGAAAATTGTATGGGATCAATTTTTTTTACTACTCCACAATATGAAAAAAATTAGTACCAAGTGAAAGTCCGCCCAATTTTTGGTGTGCCTGCATAACTTCTTACTCCTTTTTATTTTACCTCACTTTCTACAGCCTTCAAAAATGGCTGTGGGGCAATATTTAACCAGATGTTATAGGTTTTTTCATTTTCTCAAAAACCCCTCCCAAATCTGAGATTTTGGGTCCAATGGATATAGCATTATCTGAGAAGCTCACTTGAATAAGCTACTACGCCCAAGTATTTTAACACAAAAAGTTATGGCCCTCGGAAATGTCAAATTTTCAATTTTTTGGCCTTTCTTTTTAAACATTTTGACTTTTCTCAGAAACTACCCAACCAAATCTGAGATATTGATTTCGATTTTAGAACGGGCTGTGAGAAGATCCCCTGCATAAGCATCTACGCTCGGTTATTTTAACACGAAAAGTTGTACATCTCGGAAAAATCAATACTTTGATTTTTTACCGTTTTTCAAACTTTTTGATTTTTCTCGAAAACTAACCTCCCAAAGCTGAGAATTTGAGTTCAATCGAAAGAACAGGTTAGGTAACGATCCCCTGAATAAACAAACGGCTCCGCCCATTTTTTTTCTCCTTGGAAAGTAATGCTCCTTGGAAAAGTCAACATTTGATTTTTTTGACAGTGCGAAGCTCCCCTGCGTAAACGGCTAAGTCAAAATTTGTTCCACAAACAGTTAGGGCCCTCGGAAAAGTCAAATTTTGACTTTTCTCAATACCTACCCTCCCAAGTTTGAAATTTTGTTTTCATTGGAGAGAACGGGTTGCGAGAAACTTTTGCAAATTAGTGCAGAATTTTCTCCCTGTTCGCTCGCCCACCCTGTTTTAATAATTTTTTTCATAAAAAAATTTAGCGCTCGGAAAAATAAACAAGTTTTGATATTTTGACCGCTTTTTGATTTAACTCGGAAACTGTCTTTGGGAAAGTGAAATTCTCAAAAATTAACTTTTATTTTTCTAGAAAACAACAAAGGTTTTGGTGGGAGCTCAATTTTCAATCTTTTGAAATTACCTATTTCCCGAGTCTGTACAACAAATTCAAAAACGATCAAACAGGTACCCCAGTTGGGGCCCCATTTATGAAATTTTGAAAATTGCAAATTTGGTGATTTGTGACAATTGACGGGCGGTATTTTTCGTGCTAGTAACGCGTCATCGTTAATCATATCAGCTTAAATCGTTGCTCGTTGAATTAAGACATGCTAGTTATTATAGTTCTTCCGTCTTATATCTTAAACAAGCGTGCGGTGGGTGGCGTTAAAAAATCTAGATAAAAAATGTGTTGAAATTTTTATCATTTTTTAAAAATCGACAGTTTTGTGTAGACGTTAAAGGACAGTTGGAACAACCAGGATGTCTCCCTGATGTACGCAGGCATGTTGTTACGGCTTTCGACTTTTTAACTTGCAGTTTTTGACGTATTTGTTTCTTATCATGGGAATGATAGTGTTGTCCCGAGATCCAATTTAGAAAGATGTTTCAACTGAGGTCTTTTTTCATAAAAATATGGGGGTTAGAGTTTGCCAGTTTGACAATTACCGGGCGATATATTTGGTGCTATAAACGAACGCGTAAGTGGAGATTTATTCCCTCTTAGAAATCGTTTCAAAATGAATTGAGACATCAATTTTGATCTAATCAACACTTTGCTATATGCAAAACATATCACTTTGTACTTAACATGGCGATGATAACTTAACATTTTTTTTGAAGTTTCGTCAATTGTTCTAAGCGAACACTGCTCCCTATACCTTGAAAGGCAGTCTGAAGAATCAGGGCTTTGCTTTGGTGCGAGCAGTCTTGTTTCCTTATATTTGCGATTTGTCACCTCTCGGAATTTCTGAAAATATCATCCATTCTAATCCATCACCTTTTATCTGATGATTAGGTGAGAGACTGGGATGACAGACAGAAGGTCGTGAAGTGGGTCGATGCAGTGGCTCCTAAGTCGGCATCCTCCACTGCGATGCAAAAGGATCAGCAGGACGGAAACACGAGCAAAGCTGCCAAGAACAAGAAAGGGTCAGTTAAGTCATTCTCTCACTGTGTTATGTTTTTCTTTTTATATTGTATGTCAAACTGTTGCTAAGATCGTTTGGACAGTTCTTTCACTTCATCACCCCCCAGTTTTTTAACAAAAAGTTAGTTAAAGACACAATGAATTCGGATTTTTGTATTATGGGGCTACAGTTTGTGGTGGGCCGAGGGTGTGAATAGAATGAGAAAAAGCCGGTTGGCCGTGGGTTTTTTTCACAGACCAAAAATTTTGCATCACCTTTTGGAGTTGTTACGTATATTATCGACATAAATTTCTCTACATTGCGTACTTCTGGTTTATACATCACCAAAGAGAAAGCAGGGTTTAAAAAACGCGTCTGAATTTTTCTCCGATTGCTCGCATTGTCACTCCTGTTGGGTAATCGCTTTCCAAAAACAGGCGATTTGGTGATGCATTTGGTTCGTAAATTAACCGTTCTTTTAATCGTGAACCATCAATTTGCGGATGCTACTATGAATTACTTTGTGGTAATATTTGAGAAGAAGATTCATTTTTATTTTGTGAAAAGAAGTTAAATTAGAGGAATGCGCTCATCTAAATTTATCTGATGACTGACAATAGAGGAAAGGGTCACTCCAATAAAGACCATGACGAGGATCCGACAACGTCGCGACAGAACACCCTGGTCCAAGCGGGACTGCACCCAACCAATCGCGTCGTCAGCAGAGCTGGTCTGCGAGTAGCTATCAATGAAAAACCTTTCGTCCATCCCCATATGCAAAGCAGAAATACGGCCCAGAGACGACTTGGGGTCAGGGGAGGTCATTTACAGGGAAGGGGCGTTTCCCCTGACTCGAGGAACAAAAACAACGCAGAGCAGTTGGCAGCCAAAGAGTAATTTTGAAACTCTGAGTTTCTTAGAGATTAGATCCTGTCCTATCACAATTCCTGAAGATCTCATGACGTCATGACCTACAGCATAAAGTAGAGTTGCGGCGGCATTTATCTCATTAACGCATCATGAGCTCATTATAATGCATTCGAGCATATTTTTGACCGTCTAGCACTAAAACAATGCATCAGTGGTAAATTGCATGGAAAATCATTTGGGAAGTAATAACGTGTCTTTTTTTAGCTGATGATTTTTCGACTTTTTCTACAACTCAGGAACACCGTATTGTTTTTTTAAGGTTATCTTGTTGACTCGTCTTTCCATAGAATGAGTTTGAGCTGAGATATAATTTGTAAATGAGTCAGGTAAAATAATCCGCCCCTGAGTCACAGATAAGTGGTATGGAACTGATTCGGTTTTGTTTGTGATTAAGCACTGGAGATGGTTTCGGCTTCGATTCTAAGCTAAAATTCATGGTTCGCATCCGAAATCCACGTTCCTGTGCTTAATGAGGCGTGGAAAAGTATTTTAAAGAAAGTTTAAATTACTATAGTTTCTAATGATAATTTGACAATAACTTGAAACTGATTGAAAATCTACTCATTGTAGCGGCAGAGAAGTTTCCTCGATTGTCGGAGACTCTTGTCACGGTATATTGCAAATAAACAAGACGAGAAGTCTTATAGCTTCCAAGAAGCGATCGCCGGCTGCTTCTAAGAGATCTCAATTGGCCAGACCTATCTCTCGCAATGGTACGAATGAGAGAGAAAGAAGAGACGTTGTATCGAGAAGTAGCTTTAGTAGTCTGAAACGGTAAATAGATGTCATATAGATCACTTACGGTAGCCTTTTTGTTGTTTAAATTTTGTTTAATTTTTGTTCATTTCAACGTTTTCTAGTCAGAATATCAAAAATGTTGAAAGTATTTGGTTGCAAATTTTTTGATCCCCTTTGCTGAACTAAAACTTCGATATTATGCCAAAACGTGCTTTGTCATAAATGTAACTAACTTGACTCTCTAAAGCAATGTACTTTAACGACGTGCAGCTCAGTGACAATTCAAGACGACAACAATCATTCGGAACACAAAAATCCGCACATATCAAGTCGACACAATTCGAGTCCTCGCCACAGTGTGAGCTCCTCTCGCGGTGCATCAGTCGCGGCCCACGACTCAGCAGTCGGGCTTGGCCGAGTCTCCAGTGTTGCGACCAGCTCGACTGCAGCCTACGAGTCAGTCATTATTGGAGTGACAAACCAGCATGAACGAAATATTGCACCATGAACTTTTTTTGTTAATCACGGGATTATCTTTCAAAGCATGTTTGAAACTTTAATTTCACTTATGGTTTTTTCTATTCTGCCTGAAAATTTTTGGTGTTTAATTTGTTGGTGTTTCAATCTTTGTTATGATTTTTTGTGGTTTCTGTTTTTTTCTTTGTTCTGTAATTTTTGTTTCGTTTTTCTTTTCATTCCTTGCTCTAATGCTTTCTCGTGTACAGGGCTTTCGTTCAAGTGAACTTGGCCAAAGAGGAAAGAAGAAAGACTTCTTTTACAGAGCAGATAAACTCAAGGCAGAAAAGTCGTCGAAGAGATCCTAAACATACTTACTTCGTGGACCCTACACCCCCGGAAACTAGAGATCCCATATCCAAAACGGGCTTCAGGCGCAACCGATTTCTTCAAACTCTTTTGGACATGAGCAATGGAGAGGATTATCAAAGCAAAACACTTAATAGTAGGAGAGTTCGCTTTGATCCACAAGTATACGAACTGAACAATTTGACTAGAAGAAACGAGAAAATTTTCCAAGTTGCAAGACTCTCTACTTTGATTCCATCATGCTCAATGTCGTGTAATGTACGAGCATATGTTACATCATCTCTATCATCGTAATTACGTAATTGCAACTCTTTCATGTTCATAATGTCCTTTTGTGTTAAACATATCACCAAATCATCTCCAATCTGTTCATTTTCTATCTTTCTTTCGTTCATTTTCCCCCTTGGATGTTATTTAACGCCGTGGCAACAAGCTGTCAGTCCAGAGAAAAAAGTTCTAATTTAGATACTGAAAAACTCAAAAATGAATACTTTAAATTCTATGCTGGATGCTGGAAAACTCTAAACTAATTTTTTTTCTCGGCTTGTTGGCAACACGGTTTTTTATAAAATTTTCTCCCCTGAACTGTTTGTATTGAGTTTTCCGCTGATTTTCAGGGCGGCCAACGAGAAAGAAATGTCTCAGCCCGAACTGCAGGGTCCGAGGAAGAAAAAAGTGACGGAATTGAAAGCTGAGCCTGAACACACGTTGGTGGAGGGAGGACAAAGAGACATTGCTGCGACAGTTTCTGCCTTGTGTGGATACTCCAAGTTCAAGAGCAAAACTTCTAGCATCGCATTCCAACACACCATGATGTTCCAGTCGAGAAAATACGAGTGAGTTGCCAAAGCCCTACACAATCAGCCCTACACAACCAATTTCCACTGAAATTTTTTAGTAAAACTGGACATAAATAGCTTTGGACTCAAAAATTTCTTCTCAGACTTCGTGTATCTAATTTTAAAATTTTAAATCGTGATGATAGGCTGGATATTTTAGTGATTCTATAGTTCTACTACAGAATCTGTATTAGAACTTCAAAGATTTTTAGGAGATTTTCCTTATTTATCAACTTTTCTTACACATGTTAGTTTTTTGTACCAGTTTTCGAAGTGAGTGCGAAACATATATGCTTGTTCTTCCAACCATTGAAAATGGAGAGGAACTTTGTATTCGGGTATGTTTTATTTTTTTTTCCTTTTTTTTGTTCTGAGCATTGAAAATAGGGAGGAACTTTGTATTCGGGTGTGTTCTAGTTTTTGTTCCGACTTTCGATACGAAAGTAACGGAATATTTGTGCTCGGGGTGGGTTTTTTTCTTCAGACAAATTTCGACTTTTTAACTAGCCATTTTTGACGGGATTTTTTTTTTATATCATTCAAAAGGTATTGTTGTCCTGAGCTCAAATTTGAAAAGATATTTTACCTATGATTATTTTTCGTAAAATTATGGGGCTTTAAAGATTGCCATTTTGGCTAATTTGGGACAATTAACACGCGATATGTTCGCGCTATTAATGCGTAAGCGGAGAGTTAATCCGTCTTAGAAATCGTTCCAAATTGGTTGAGAGAAGCTTATTTGCCTTAATTGATTTGTTACTAGAAGCAAAATTTATTATTTTTTCGACTTTCGATACGAAAGTAACGGAATATGTGTGCTCGGGGTGGGTTTTTTTTTCTTCAGACAAATTTCGACTTTTTAACTAGCCATTTTTGACGGAATTTTTTTATATCATTCAAAAGGTATTGTTGTCCTGAGCTTAAATTTGAAAAGATATTTTACCTGTGATCATTTTTCGTAAAGTTATGAGGGTTTAAAGATTGCCATTTTGGCCAATTTGGGACAATTAACGCGCGATATAATTCGCGCTATTAACGCGTAAGTGGAGATTTAATCCGCGTTATAAATCGTTCCAAATCGGTTGAACGAAGCTTCATTGCCATAATTGATTTGTTACAAGGAACGAAATCTATCTTTATGTACTTCAATATGGCGTGTGGGGGGATGATTTTCATTTAAAAAATTCAAATTTACAAAAAAAATTTCGTTTTATTTTATTTCATTTAATTTTTTAATTTTATTACTGCTGCTCCATAAACCTTAAAAGGCAGTCGGAACATTCAGGGTTTTGCCCTGATACGAGCAGTCTTGTTCTTTTTACTCTTACGATATATATTTTTCAAATTTATGTTTTTTGCACATGCTTAATTGTCTTTGCTTCCAAGATATGTTTTTCTTCAACCTTTTAAAGCTGATTTAAAAGCTGTACCCGTGATTTCAGCAATGATTTAGGCATTGTAAACATAACAGGCGAGTTTGATTTTCTGGTTTTGTCTCATTCCGGTTTCTCTAGGGTTTTGACTCATTCAGTAGGTTTATTTCCCGATTTATTGTCTTAAACAGCTCATTCGAAGATTTTGATTTTTTTGATGATTTTTGCAGTATTGATTTTTACAAAAAAAAGTTTAACTTCTTTTACATTTGCGAGAGCAAGTGTATTGCAATCAGGTACTTGACTTTTCCCCTTGAAGTTTCACTTTTCCCTCTTGTTTTGTACTTTATATGGCGTGTGGGGGGATGATTTTCATAGAAAAATTTTCAAATTTTAGAAAATAAAAATGTTCATTTTATTTTATTTAATTTAATTTTTTTTATGTTGTTTATGTTATTACTGCTCCATAAACCTTAAAGGCAGTCGGAACATTCAGGGTTTCGCCCTGATACGAGCAGTCTTGTTTTGTTTTCTTTTTACTCAAAATCAGGTGCCACAAATAATCATCGATTTGAATTGAGTGATATATCATATTAAAGCTCTTTTGGTCGTGTTTGAACCACATTAAAAAACATTTTTCGTTTTTCGTCTTATTTCGAGCGAATTACGCGAGCGAGCAGGCTCACATCAGCTTAATTATGCCTTGCTTTTGAGGCTAGTGAAAAGTTTACTAATGTGCTCCAATTTGTCTTTTGAAGGGTCGATGTTATATTCCATTCCTTTTTTTTTTAATCAATTTGACCTATTTCGGCCATAAGCATTTTTCTTCACTTCATTTTTAGTTGAAATAATGAACTAAAACAACAAGATGGAAAAGAACATCATACCAGGACTTCTCTTCAGCTCAGTGCGATCAACCGATTTTTTCTTTTGTGCCCTTGCCTAATAATTGCATGCAATTTTTTGTCTATTTTTCTGAGTTCGATAAATTTGCCTCCCGGCAAGAAGCAAGCATGGTCATCGTGGGCTTCGAACCACCTGCCTTCTGATTGAGTTGCGGATACTAAGTCACTTCACTATCGCTCATTATTTCTGTCTTGTATGGTGTACACGGGTATGATCTTGGGTTTTAGGTTTTCAGTCACCAATAAAGGCCAAGTTGGTCTATCTTACCACTGGCGCATCGAATTAGAAGACGGAAGAAGCTTAGATTACCCTGTTGAAGAGCAACAACCGTCGCATCTTAGACCGCTCTCTAGGCAGAACACCTCCCTGGACAAGAATAGTGCAGGCATGGTGCCAGAGATCCTTCCCCCACCGACTCCTGGTTATATACCTTTTAGTATAGAGCCCTTCGTGGGGACAATTAACGCAGGGAAGAAGAAGACATTCCACGTCAGATTTGCACCGTTGGATATCGGGGAGTTTAAAGGAAAACTTATATGCAGGTAAAAGTTAAATACAATATAAAGCATGATAGAAAATTGCTTCTATAAACTTCTATATTTCCTTAGTCTAACGTGCTGATTTTTTTTTTTGACTTAAGCCGTTACTAAAATAGTGATCAAATTTTAGCATCTACTTTTCAGTTCCTATTTTCTAAGCACTGCTTTTGACCTATTTAGTAACAGATAGATCAACATGTTTGGTGATTTTTCTGGATTCGAGAGAAATTTTTCATTATACTCGAGTAACGAAATCTGATCACTGTAGATTTTTAACAACCGACTCCTTTTTCATTCAAGAAAACGTTATCTTGAAACTGTGTTCAGGGCCATTTTTTATAATTCGTTTCAGTTTTTAGTTCATTTTGTGATTAGTATAGAGAATGATCCGGCCATTAATCTCAATAGCGATTGACGTCAAAAGCTCCAATTTTTTTTATTGTGTTTCCGAGACAATTCAAAACGGACCTGTAGCTCCATGGATGGTCTCCCTGGCAGTCTGTTTGGCGGTGTAGATTGTAGTTTATATAACTTCTCACAATGTAACGGCTTGCAGGACATTTTTTACTGATTATTATAATTCACTATCTTCGCAGCTGGAGAAGTTTCACTTCCTCTGTTTCTTTAGCATTCCAAATCTAGACCCCAACGAGCATGCAGGCAGCAATGGGATCATGGAGATCCAGATCTCTGGTTCGAGTGAGATGCCCTGTGTGCACTTCGAACTTCCAGAGTCAGACTACCTTTCTGGCAACAGACGAGACCCCACCAGGAAGGGACCGGGAGGGGAGCCAGCGGGTACTCTGGACCCTAATGCTAAAGTGCTAGAGTTTTCCGTCACTGGAGTGGGATTCAAAACTCACAAGTCAGTTGTTGATTTAAATATCTGAAAGAAAAGTTTTGGAAACAATTATCGGAGAAAGTGGATTTCCGTAAACTTTTCCGGTATTGTGAATCGCAACCAGATCTCCAGTAAATCTGTAAAGCAAAACAGTTTAGCGAGTTTTTAATACTTTATAACAAATTGTCTCTCTGTCTTAGGAGCTTCGACGTGATTAACCCGACCAAGAACACATACAGTTACTCGTGGCAGTGTCTGGACCTAAAGAGTGTGAAGAAAGAGACTGCCTTCAAGTGTCTCAACCCCAAGGGACAGATCTTGTCCGGGCACTCCACACAGGTATAGACTACACTACCAAAAAGCTCTCATCATATATAAATATAGCTTTTTTCCTTTTCACTTTGTCTGCTAATTGTACCTGTGGTAAAACTCTTTTTCTAGCGGTCTCATCATAATAAAATTAGGTATATTGCGTGATTGCTGTTTTGTATACCTATGATTATTATTTCCTCATCCCACTCTCCCGAGCTGTTGAATACGGAGACCAAGTATGCTTCAGTACCGTCGGAAACGTTAACGAAAGTTTCACCACTAAGTTATGGAATCTGTGGTTTTCTAAGGACTTTCAAAATGAAGTACAAGCTTTCCAAACTAGGAAGATGAAATGACAATCGTGCACGCGAAGACGTGTTTCTAAACGGTTAAACCTGTTCTAGATGGGTTTTGAGTTCCGACCGAGTGACCTTGGAGTGACGGAGTCCTTCTGGCGCTTCTCTATCCCTGGCCAGAAGATCAGTCTGCTGTTCCTTCTGGTAGGCACGACCTCCGAGCCAACTGTCCGATTCGAGAGGTCACACCTCAGCTTCAGATCGATCCTCGTTGGTATGTACTTACACTCTAGCTCAAACAAAATAAGTCCTGCCAAGTAAATATGACAAAAAACTTAATTAAATTTTGTCTACGAATTTTGAAAAATTGCGAAATTAGTTTAACACGCGCGGCATTTTTGTCCTGTGTTATAAGCAATTTTTTTTGGAAAGTTTAACAAAATGCAAGGTTTTGGCCTTTTTTTTCTAACAGGGTGGGATTTTTTGGCGTGAACTTAGCTCAAGTTTTTTTAATCTTGGCAGCGAAAGTATCCTGAAAAACATTTTTAATTGAGTCATTAATTTTTTGTTGTACTTAATTTACAATTTTTAGTGTCTTTTCTTGCTTTCAGGCGAGCAGTCCCATGAATTGATCCACCTCGAAAACGACGAGGACTTCCCTCTGTCCTACTCGTTCGATGCCGAGTCAATCTACACAGAGGGACGTGGAGCCATGATAGGCATCATGCCCATAGCCGGAGTGATCCCCCCTAAATCCAGGGCCCCGCTTGATCTGTTTTTTACTGCCCCCTCGGATAAGGAGTATAATTTCAACCTGATATGCAGGGTCAAGCACCGGAGGGAACCCTTGATGTTGAATGTGAAGGCAGAGGGTTTTAGTGTGAGGGCTGATTTAGTGTGTGAGAGTGCAAGCGGCCAAATGGTCAAATTGACTGCAAATGGACGAAATGAGATCAATCTCAAACAGGTATTTACCCACTGCATTTCGATGAACACTCAACTTTTCGGCCACTTGCTATCTTAACCACTTCGGTATTTGACAACTACCAGGTCACATGTTTATGATGAAGAATATTTAAAACAATAATGGTCCATAAGCTATACCCATTTGAGCAATGCGGGGAAAATTGCTTGGAAAAAGTTCAAAAAAATCAACAAAAATTTCAATTAGTTCTTGATGTATTCAAATAGCTTCTTGTACTTTCAACTCCCTTCATTGCGGATAAATTCTCCCCTGCATTTTTTGTATATTCTGGCTATAGTATTTCCAATTGCTATCGTTTATAGGTGGAACCGAATGAGCAAGCAGTGCGGAGTCTGCAAGTCTCGAACCCGGGCAAGTACGCGATATCGTACAAGTGGACCATCTCCAGCCACCGCGAACTAGTCTCCATTTCACCCGAGGAGGGAGAACTTAAACCCGGTCAAAAGTGCAGCACCACTCTCGCATTCCTCTCCGCCAAGAATTGTGAGCTGAGGAATTGCATATTGACTCTAGAGGTCAAGCGAGGCCCCAATTATCAAGTGGCGCTTCTGGGAAAATGTGTGGCGCCGTTGCTTGTCTTTTCGGCCAAGAAGGTCAACTTCGGAAGTGTTTTCTTGGCCCGTGCGGGCATGAAGCCATCTGTAGAGAATGTTCAGATCACAAACAGTGACTCGAAGCCTATTAGGTATTTATTTATTTCTAGCCAATTTAAAGACGTGGAATGTTCGAAGCCGACCATGATCCGTGCTCGTTGCTTAAGGGTGTGGCTACGATACTCAGCTCAGAAAAAAAATAAGTCATAAACTGCATGTAATTGTCAATCAGGGGCGCAGCAGTGCTTCTCAGTAAGGAGCTGAACAGCTCGTATGTTGGTCCCTCTTGGATAAATCTTTGGATAAGTAAAAAATAGTTGAACAACGGGAATATCGGGTTGCAGTGTAAGTAGCTTTGAATTTTGCATTATCTGGTTGAGTATTTGCTTTGATAATTGTTCCGGAAAGCAATGAATAATAGCTCAAGAAATTAAAAGGTCTCTTTGGTGAGCTGAAAAGATGTGATGAAGTGGCTAAAGAGGTGTGTGACGTTAAAATAGGTGTGATGACGTGGCTAAGGTCCCCTCCTGAAAACCGGAAGGTCTGTAGGCCAAAGTTTTCCATAATCTGAGCATGTTCAATCAAGAAAATTTAAAAAATTAAGGGCTTCAATTGCGGTTTTTAAGAAATTAAACAGCTCGATTTTTGATCTTTTACCTCCTGCTTCAATGATCTTAATTTAATGTATAAATTCTATTTTAGTGTGCAGTGTCTGTTCGAAGACACAGATGCTCTGCAAGTGGGTTTCCAGTCCTGCTCTCTGGATCCGGGCCAGTCCGCATCCGTCACTCTCACCTTTAGTCCCCACAGGGTGGGTGCAGTTGAAGAAGTGGTCGCATTCTTCCTCAACGGGCTGTCTACTTCCACCCTGCAAGTCAAGGGCGAAGGAATCACTGCAAATGTGGGTCACTTCTGTGTTTAAGTGTTTTTGCTCTGTATGAACTTTTACTTATTTCGATCGTGGTTTTTTTTTCAAGAAAAAGTTTTGTTAGTACCAATTTTTTTTTTCATTTAGACTTTTTGTCATTTATTTACACTTGCGACTTGCGATCGCAATGTATTAGTGTGAATTTTCTTTTTTTCCCAACCTAACTCGCAAGTATAAGTGATTATTTGATGCTACTTTTGCTAAAATCACGATCTGCAGCATTAGAAATTTCGTCTGCTTTATTTGTACCTAAAATTTAACGGTTTTTAACCGTCTGTGCCTGAGAGATTAGGGATTGAGATTATTTGCGTGGCAGATTTTTAAAATTGTTTCCAGGCTTATTTCTACTTTTTACACTTGCGAAGCGAGTGTATTAGTACGAACGTTCTTTTTTCCAACCCAAGTCGAAAATATTGGTGCTACTTTTGGGACACCTTTACAGCTTTTTCATAGCATGTGCTTTGACGGGCGAATAGTAATAAGTTAACACAGTTGATGCATTTTTAATTCACCAAATGAACCGAAAAACTTCAGCAATTTTCTAGCAATTTTTAGAAATTCATAATTTATACATAATGTGGCTTTATGCTTTGCAATTTGTTGCATGCAAAGTTAGTGTGGATGCCTTCAGTTTGTTATATTCTAAATTTTTACTTGCAAGATTGAGTATATTTGTATTTGGTGCCACTTTTGCTGAATTGTATTGGCAGTTTATTAGCATTTGTAGCTGCTTTATTCGTGACTAGTGTTTGTTGGTTGTTAAGCTTGCGTGGCTGAGTGGATAGTGTGTGAGACTCACAATCTCTCAGATTCGAATATTACACATAGCCGAGTTTTGCTAATTCGAGGCTTATTTCTACTTTTTCTTATTTCATTTGATAGAGCTGCTTTTTGGTCGTGATCTCGCAAGTGTTAGCGAAGCGAAGCTTCGCCTCTGTGTTTATTTCACTTTTTAAAGCTGTTTTTGTCGTGTTCTCGCTAGTTTCTGCGAAATGCAGCTACACCTCCGTCTTTAAAGTTGAGTTTGATTTTAAGATTCAAAATTAGGTTGGATATGTTAAAATTTTCACCAAAATGGGGAAAAAACGCCGTATCCAATTTATTCACATTGGGTTGATTTTTTTTCAAAGCGCCTATCAGAAAAATTTTATAAATTCGAAGAGCTTTAAGGCGATGAAATTTTTCCCGTAAAATTAATTTTCTAATAAGTTTTGTTGTTTCCAGATCGAAGCAGCAGATGGGATGAAGCTTCTGAACTTTGGCTCCGTCAAAGCAGGAAAACAGGCGAAGAAGCAGACGACTCTCACCAACCACACAAAAGTGCCGGTGACTTTTGACCTCTGTATGTCACCCACGTCACCAAGAGGGGTCACTCTGGCTCAGAGTGTGTCAATTACACCCTCGAAAGTGACCATGAAGCCCAATGAGTCTGTGAATGTAGTTGTCAAATTGTGTTCAAACGAGAGAATCCCTGCTTTCTCAGAAGAGGTTAGTAGTTGTTTATAGAATCAGTAGCAAGGCAACTGAGCTCGTCGGTCAAATTAATTTTTTTTCCTCAAACATTTTTGAAAACCTTTTTGAGTTCAATTGAAGTTCATCTGCTGAAAGTTATGTAAATTGCACTCTCCAAATACGAATGCTTAACACGATGACATCGTTGCGTTTTGTTCACATCTAAAATAAAGAGGAGGGGCTGATATTTCATGTTTTATCATTTTGTTCCGACTTTTCAAGAATATGATGGAATATTTGTGCTCGTGGTGGTTTTTTCTCAGTTAAAATTCGATTTTTTAATTAGCCATTTTTGACAGAAATTTTTCATATCACTTGAAAGCCTTGCCTTAAAAAACAAAGTAAAGCTGTTTTTACCGTTGTTTTACGTGTTATTATGGCTAAATGAGTGACGTAACGATGTAAGATATATAATACAAATATGTTCGTAAATGTTAGTTTGTTCACCATGCCAAGATTTTTTGAATTATGAAAGTGTTAAACTTGTTTTTGTTCCGACAGTGGAGGAACTTTGTATTCGGGTGTGTTTTAGTTTTTTTTCCCACGTAGAATCAGGTATCACAAATAATCATTGGATTGGGTCGAGTTATATATCATATTAAAGCCCTTTCAGTCGTGATTCAAACGACATTAAGAACTTTCGAACAATTTTCCCCTGTGTGGACAAAAAACCAGTTTCAAATTTTTGATTTTTGGTCTAATTTCAAACTAATAAGATGAGGCCAAGCAGGAAATTTTTTTTTGAAAATTTGGCCTTTTTCATTATGAATTTCGAATTAGCCTAATTTCTTATTTTTGTTTGTATTTTTGCACAGTAACTGGCTAATTTTATTCTAATTTGCTGTCTTTCTATCTTCCTCTTACTTTCAAGAAACAACGAAAATTAACTGTTGTTCTATTGTTTGAAATTTCATTAGTTTTTGTTTTTGTTCAGTCATTTTGGTCTTTTTATTTTTCTCTTACAAGAAACTGAATGGAACTTTACAGCTAAATTTATCTTAAAATATGATTTATCTGACTTGAAACGGATGAAAAGTTTTCTTATTTCTTTTTTTATTTTTTATTTTTCACAATTTTTCTTAAGTTGAATTTAATAAATGAAGGTATCACTGAAAGCTCTGGACAGTGAATCCAGCTCAAAATTGTATAAAAAAATTAGAATGTTTTTTTTTCAAGTTTGACTTTTTTGTACATAGGAAGAAACACTAGAATTGAGCTTAAAACAAACTAACTATAAAAAAAAAGAAATTAGGCAAATTCAGCTGATAATAAATCACTATTAAAATTTTTCATTCTATTTTTGCTCAAGAAAGTTTTCGAACTAGCTTTTCTCGACTAAATTTTTTTTAAACTTTCAATCGAATCACGACTTCAATGAAGTTCGTCGCTCGACCTCTCTTGATGTATGTTTTGGGTACTTTTGACGTTCATTTAGAAATTTCATTTTGGATTTTAAAAAGAATCAGAAACACACCCGAATACGGAGTACCTGCGCAATTTTTGGTCGGAGCAAAAAGTAATGATGTTGCACGTTTGCTGAGGCGGATAATCAACAAACAGCCATATCTTGAATCCGAAATTGCATCTAAATGTAAATTACATCAAAATTATGTAAGAAATGCATAAAAACAATGACAATCTGTTATGTTGCATAACAATATTAATTTTTGTCTTGTTGGAATGGTAATCCTATTTTCGGTTTGTTGGCCCTTCGGCTTGTTGGCCTACCACCATTTGCTGATAGTAGTGCATGTTTGAATGTCTGCTGTGTTGTATGTTAGGTGTACCTGGAGATGGCTGGGAGTAGTGTGCCAGTGTTCAGTGTGAGTGGCAGTGTGGTGGACCAGAGTGTGCGTCTGGACACACAGGCAGTGCCATTCGGGGCAGTCGTGGCCAGGGGCGAGAGCAGACGCCGACTACTCATGACCAACGACGGCGACATAGGAGTGTAGTATGTACCATCACAACTCCATACTATTCCATACCTCACTCGGATCTTTTCTCTCTTACCCCCCCCTTTACAAAAGAAGAGAAGTTAGTTACTAGCTACAAAAGTCGCATCTGCTTAAATGTTGAGTTTTACATTTTTGGGGGTGAATTTTAAAGGGATAGTTTGAGAGGGGCAGAAAAAGAGATCCTTTTACTCTGCACTACACTGTCAGCAAAACTTCATGTTCTTCATGCTGAATTTGATTTATTCGCGGTTTATATATTGATTTCTTTTTGAACTCATTTCAACTTCATTTGCTAACTGGAAAGCAAATTACGCTCTCAAATGACAAGTGCAAATGGCGCAAAAAAACGTGAGTGAAAACACATCAAAAATAGCTTTAAGATGGTATCTTTTTTTCTGTCAAAAAATCGATTTTCTTTGTTTTTTTTTAGGTCATTGACATTTTCCTACTGTCTGTTTTCTTGTTTGCATCATTAGTAAACCTGATTACTGATATAATTTAAGGTTTTTTTAGTGAATTTTCCTAAATTAAATGATTTTCATGATTATCTTTAGCTTCAATTGGGACGTGGCCAAATTCAAGCCGGACTTCAGCATAGTTCCATCTAAAGGGTATATCGCACCAGGGATGGACCTGCCTTTGGAAATTGCATTCCAGCCTTCAGTTGTGAACGCAGACATCCGATACAGCAACCTCACTTGTAATATAGAGGGGGGCAAACCTCTTAAGCTCACCCTTACTGGAGTGTGTGCTGCGTGTCCTCCTACTGGAAAGGAACTTGTCCAGTTCCAATGTAGTGTGCGAGAGACCGACCGTAAAATGGTCAGCATCAGCAACAAGACCGGATCCCAGTGGGTTCTGACTCCGGTTATCGAGGGCGAATTCTTCCAGGGTCCAGATACCCTGGTTATTGACGCAGGTGCAACAAAACCGTACAACATTTCATACAAGCCATTCCGAATGACGTCGGCTGATAAGAAGCACCTGGGATCAGTTTTCTTCGCACTTCCGGATGGAAGTGGACTTTTGTATAATCTGCAAGGTGCCGCGGATCCTCCAAAGCCGGTAGACACTATCATCCGGGAGGTTCCTTCCAAACAGCCTCACACTGAGTTGATTCCTGTTAGTAACTGGGAGAAGACTCCGCAGAGGTTCAAGGTCATCATAGACCTGATGAAGCCGGATAAACTGGACCCCTCTACTCAACTTAATGGACTGGATTATTTGGACGTGCCTGGATTGACCAAAAGAGACTACAAACTGAATTTCTACTCGCATAAAGAGGGGAACTTCCAGGCCAAGGTATATTTCCATATTTCGAATGATAATTTTTGCATTTTTTTTCCTGTTCTATTAATTCATTTTTGAGACCTTTGATCTTTACACCTACTGAACCTACTTAATTAAATGCTTCTTCCGGTTTCATTGACTGTTGTTCGATGACAAAAAAAAACTTTTCTGATTATTAAATTAATAGTACTAGTTTTGTACTTTTTCTGTATTCGGTTGGAAATTCCTTTTTTTCGCCAAAAACTGTTTATTGCAATTTATTACGATTGACCATAAGCCATTATGTTCGTTTGGGTTGTTCAAAGGATCGTACGATTAAGAATGAAAATTATGGTCGTTCAAAGGGTGGTACGATTAAGAATGAATACTATGTTTGTTTGTGTTTTTGTCAGGTGACGTTTGTGAACGAGAAGAGTGGCGAGTATGTGTTCTTCTTCCTCAACCTGAGAGTCAGTCTGCCTGGAGTGATGGAGACTGTGGAACTGGAGACCCCCTGCAGACACCCCCTCTCCCACTCCATCACACTCGCCAACCCCCTCCCCAACAACGGGGTCACATTCTACGCCAGCTGTCCCTGTCCAGAGATACTCATGCCCCCGCAGTTCGTTATTGCGCCAGAGTCTTCAGTGAGTTCACACCCCTCCTCTATTCTTTTTTAGTCCCCCCCCCCGGTCTCGTCAGATGAGTACTATCAGAGTAACTACAATACAATTGAGGCTATTGTATCGTCTAAGAAAATTTGGTTCAAAAAAGTTGTCTCTTTTTTTTTCATTCATGCAATTTCAATTTACAAGTAAACTTTTTATTTATACAATTTTTCGATTAAAAGGAAGATGTCTTCTCTGCCAATTTGCAGAGCAGTTCGTCATGTTATGTTGGTAGTTCCGATTGTCAAGAATAAAAGTCGGCTTAATTTTTAATCTCTTTTTTTTATACTTACCTACCATCCCTTCAACTCAAGCTAAGAGTTCATGTGCAACTTAGAGTAAATTTACATGTTTAAGTACACTTACAGCAAGTTTAATAGCGATTCATGTTTAAGTACAACTTACAGCAACTTGTGCATGTTTCAGTGTGATTTCAACATAGAGTATCTTCCTCTGAGAGTGGAGGAAACTTCGGTCAAGTTAGTTCTGAACAGCACTGAGTTAGGAAGCTACACTTATGACCTGGTGCTTCGCAGTCTGCCCCCCAGACCAGAGAAGCCCCTGTTCTTCCGCGCTCCTCTGGGGTCCCAGCAGACCCTAACAGCCACATTCCTCAACTACTCCAAGGCCAAGTGCGAGTACACCATCAAGGTCAGTTAATTATCTTTTCACTTTTTCACGCCTTTTACGTATTTTCTCTGTCAAGTTCATATAGATTTTTTCAATTAAAAAGCAAAGCGTTCAGAGATGATTTTTTTTATCTAAAATTTTGAAAAGCGAACTATCTCATTTTCACAATAACTTAATAGATGAATCAATATAAACTAAGTGAGTGTCTATCGAGTTTATTTTTGAGTAAAATGAATTTGCTTAGTGTAGTGAATTACACCACTTCAAGCAAATTAGACTAATTGAAAAATATTTTGTTTACTTTGTTTTCCTATTTTTGCAATGATATCAATTATCTCAGCTTAGAAAATAATTTATTCTGTGTAGATTGAACAGCCCGAGAGGACTGCGGGCAAAGAGGACTTTTCGGTTGAGAAGACAATCATCCCTGCAGCTCCTGGAACTAGCGCAGGAACCGAAGTCTCTTTCGATGTCACCTTCGAACCCTCCTGTCTTGGGGACGTCAAGGCTGAAATGCGGATTTTCTCCCAAGTGGGTGGGGACTATTTGTTCATGTTGCACGGAACAGCAACCACGCCCAAACCTCAGGGTCCATTCAGCGTTAAAGCGGGGGGATCTATGACGATTCCTTTCAAAAATATCTTCCATTCACAACAACAATTTGTATTCTCGATTGACAATCCGGCGTTCACTGTGAAAGGCAACGAGAATCTAAAGGGGAAGAAATCAACCAATCTGCACGTGGCATTTGAAGGCAACCCAGATGGGTCAAAGATGCCATGTATGGGCAAATTGATGGTCTCGTGTCCAAAAAGTATGGCCGGCAAAAACACTTCATGGTCGTTCTATATCAAAGGCACGCATTGAACTTGAAAAATTCCACAACTTGAGCCACAGTGACTTAAAACGCTTAAAATTGATTAAATCATTCCAGAAAATCATCATAGTTGTAAGTTACACACAATGTGTGAGTTTACTGTACAGAAAAACTGTAAAAACATATTTTTGTCAACTGTAAATAGAATTGTACATTTGCATAATCCGAATTCAACTCTTTTATTGCTTATATAATCTTTTATTTCCTTAAATTAGTCGTCCGTGGTTTTTTTATGAAAGTATAATTGGATCCTTGTTTGCTTGATTTTTCCATTTGATTTGGATTTCGCTTTTTCATGAAATTTCTAATTGCTTCCTTTTTTGGACGGTAAGCTTTGTAAATTGGAATATAGTTTTATCTTTCAAACACCTGTACGTTATTGCCGGGCGTTCTCAAGCTGTGAAGGTTTTTTCAGACTTAAATCTGAAATCTCGTTAACTTTAATATCCATCCCGACCGAAATAGGACGCATGTAAGTTTGAAATCGATTACATTTAATCGAGCAATTAACAAGCAATCAACTGGCAAATGTTTTTGTTCTGCACTCACACATAATCCCAAGGGATAAGCTCAGGTAAATGAATTAACCATATCATAATAAACTTATTTACCCGCCGCTTTTTCATTTCAACTATTCATAATTTTGCATTCGTCATTTCGAACCAGCAGTCTCAGTTTGAAACAATCAACTTTACCTGAATTTCACACGCAAACCACAGAAATGAGAAGCTTTTTCACCTCAGGCAGAAAGTAAGTACTCCAAATTTAATACAATAAGGTAGAAACGAAAACAATTATTACCAAAGATTTGAAAACAAATTAGCCAAATATCAGCTTTTTGTATTTTTCAACAACTTTTAAATTTGCAGGTCCTCAGATACCAACGCCTCTGGAAAGATGGATTCTGGTGCTAAGTTTAAGAATTCCGATTTTTCATTTGGGGCCAAAATCTCCCGATCTACTCGAATGTCAATTGAATCATGTCTTAATCCGAATCCGCGAATGACTCCAAGAACCCATCACAACAATTCTTCGGCATCGTCGACAAGTCACTCCTCAAACTCTCGTCGTCGTGACGTTTCTCTTGGATCATCTACCTCGGGAAAACTGTCATCATCCGAGTCACTCAGCTCCGAAGGCTCCTTGACTTCCCAAAGCTCCTTGCAATTATCGGGGTTCAAATCTTCAAATGACTCGAGAAGCTCAACGTCGGGATCCGTTGGAACTTCATCGTTTTCTGAAAGTATCAACAGTCACAATACTTCAAGAGGAGCAACTCATATGCACAACTGGACAACGGTGGACCACTCATTTTCTGGATTAATCTCTGGGAATCTCAGCCAATCATTAAACTGCACTATGGACTCAATTGGGACTCATCAGGTGACGAAAAGCCAGGTGCGAAAATGCGAAAGACCTGTCAAAGAGTATTGCTCTCGCAATTTGCCTCGAATGAGCAGACGCCTAGAAGCTGTCCATGTTTCTAACAAGCCTTGTCAATTCCCAGAAATGACCACAGTTCTCAGAAATCCAGGCAAGCAATTCAGTATATTATTGCATAATTCAATAAAATTATTTAGCCATTTTGCTGGTGATTTCAGAAATACAAAAAAGTTTTTAAGTAAAAAACATGAAAAGACGAAGTGTTTCGAATATTCCAAAACTTTTTCTGCTCGGTTAAGTGTTCTTGATTTGATTTATGCTTTATAATCTTAAGTAACAAATGTTTTTTTGTTTTCCAGAGCTCATCCAGATGTTCTACAAATACCTCATTTTGGAACACGCTGAAGAGAATCTCGAATTTTGGACTGCATGTGAAGTGTACAAGGAGACACGGAATGGGCAGAAAAGAATGGGCCTGGCTGATCAGATTGTGAATAAGTACATCTCTGAACTGTCAATCAAACAGGTCAACTTGCCCGCCGCAGTCCGCAACAATGTTCTCCACGCGTTCTTAGAAGCCAACTTTAGCTGGTGAGTTGGACCATCATTTTTTTGGGGCAAATTAGTTTTCAGCTTACAAAACACTAAAATTTTATGGGTGAGAGAATAGTTTTACTGCAAGTAAGAGTCTAAACGGAAACCAGCTGACGTTTTTTTTTTTTATATAGAGCCGTCTAAAATAAATCCATCTAAAATATTTTAGATGGATCAGTGTAAAAGCGAAAAACAAAATCAGTGTAAAAGTGTATAAACAAAATTCAGTTTTTGTAAAATTAAAGTTTAATTTGAAGTTTGTAACTTGTTTAGTACTCTCTTCAACGAGGCACAGACCACTGTATTCTGCAACATGGCTAGAGACTCTCTCCCCCGATTCAAAACCACGCCTCAATTCCAACACAAAATGGCATCCAGGAAAGATAGATACTCCTCATCATCAAAACCCACCGCACCTTCAACGCCTCCAAGGCCATCTTGTCCACGCCCTCATAGTGACAGCCACGACGTGCATAAACTATGCTTTTGGAGCTTCACAACTTAAAAATGACCAATTTACGGTCACAGCAATAACAAAATGATGAATATCATGAAGTAGATCTAAGTACTGATAATGCCAATTAAATAACAAACTGAACAATTCCATTAACTTCTAAAATATTGTATATACTAATTAAGATCAATTCAACTTTTTTCTACCTTCTTTTGTTTTTCGAAAGTGTAGTGTGGTACCGGTATTCAACTTGTTAAAGAAACATGTAAAATTTACCACCTTACAGCTGAGTTATTAGGAGTAATGAACATAGTGAAGACTCTTATATAGATCTTGCTGATTTTTCTTTTTTTTTCAGGAAAAATCTTAAAAGTCTATAAATACTACAGATGTGCATTCATACATTTTCATGCATTTATGGTTGCACTTAGGAATATATGCTCTTTTTGAGATCAGTTGAAATTCTTCTGCTGAAAGTGACGTAAATAGCATTCTCCAGATACGACCGTGGAAATGACGCTTTCTAGGTTTGTAGTTTCGAAACTGGATTTTAATTTTTAATTGTCCAGCGGAATAAAAATTTTTTTGTTGATCCCGTTTTTCTCAAGTTGGGTTAAAGTTGTCAAAAAAGCGCCAATCATAAATCGTTCTAGGAATTCAAACAGCTTAAAGGGCATCTATTTTTTTTCTATGAAAATCAAAAATGAGATTTTTCAACAAAGTCAGTGTTTTATTTTCTGTTTACCTGTTCATTAATCTTTTTCAATCTTCGATTGGCTATGTTTTTCACAGCATGTCACTGTCAATGGCCATCGAATAGCTATTAGCACATGGCGATGACGACGAAGACACTACAGCAGCAGTTTTAAGTAATTGAAGCATTTTCGCATGTTCCGACTTCGAATGAAGTATGACGGAAAACTTGTGCTCGCCATCTTTTTTTCTGTTTATTTTTGAGTTTGTAACCAGCAATTTTAAATGTTTTATTCAAATCATTTGTAAAACATTAAACACAATTTGAAAAAAAAAATTAATTTACTCGAGACAATTATCGAAATAAAATTGTATTTTATTTAGCGTGTTGGACTACAGAATAAAAAACTTAAAACAAAATCGAAAATGTTTGCTCTTGGACTAATTCGTCATTAAAAAAAATTCATTGGCTATGAACGGCCGGTAGTTTTTCACGTCGATACGAGTTGACTTCTTGAGCTTTCGTCATTTCACTTCAAACTTACTTCAAACAACTTTCTTCAAATCGTTCGAGGTGGTTGACGCTTAATCTTGAATGGTCCATTTAAAAGTAAATTTTTAGAAGCCAAATTTGGTTATATTGTGAACAAGATCCGGTTAATCAACTTATCACGAAAAGGATTTACCAGATTTTAGTGCAATTTATTTGAAGAATTGTTGGTACCGTGAAAATTCTCGCGCATGGCAAATGGTTCAGGACCAAAAGTGTTAAGGTTTTCTCATACAAAATAGGTGCAAGGTCTAGAAAACCGTCCCAATTCGACTAAAGCTAATGTCACCTTGGGCCTAGTTAGTGTAGTTAATGAAAGTTTAACTCTGCATCAGCGGGCAATGCCATCAGGACTTGCAAAGATCAACAACTTGTTTCTTCTTAAGAATTTTCTACCCCATAATTGTCTGCACTGTTGTAGCGTAGTTTGGTTACTTTTTTGTCGAGCATATCGATATTTTTTTTGTGGAATCTAGATTGACTGCTAAGCGAGACTTTTGCTGGCACCCAGCACTGGTGCAGAACGCAAGGAAAAATAGTTATTTTTTGTTTTGTTTCAGGATATAGAGCGGTGTGTTGCTTGGTGGCTCCGCTGTTTGAGACTGAGCATCTGTTCGCTGAGTTTCTTTTGGTAGCACGATGCGACTCAAGGCAATTAAGACAGTGTCATTTGTTTATTGGTAGCTTGTATTGTTATCTGAAGAGAGTTTTAAAAAATTGGGATGACGCTCAATGTAGTGTTGCACGTGATCCATTGGACGTTATTTGTGTTGTAGTTGCATTCCAAGTGCCTGTCTGTATTACTTTTAGAATTTATTTCTATGTAGTCTGATGTTCTTGGTTGGAACGTGTTTTCTTGGTTAATGTTTTTTTACCTTGTTTGCTCTGATCCAAGCTCTAGCTTTTCAAACGCGCAGTAGTTCTTTAAAGATTCCGTTAAATCTTTCAACCTTGCATTTCTACGAACGTGGAGTATACAGAGTTACTCTATTTCATCAGTAGTTCATACCGTTTATTCGAACGAGCCAGACATAGATTTTTAAGGAGTTTTAATCAGAAGAGTAGTCGATGATTTAAAGTTAAGTTTTGATTCCATGAGAATGCAGCATGCTTTATGATTGCTCGAGACTCCCTGTTTTTAATGCCTTCCAAAACGTCAATTTAATCAATTATTTTGCTACTACAAAAATTGAATTACCACATTTTTGATATAGTTTGACTTTTGCTTGGTTGTTATGTGTTTTGTAAGTTTTGAGTTAGGACCGAGTTGGTTAACTCATAGAGTAATTTCGGATAGGGTACACCGTCTGCTCGTCACGCTATCTTATTTTCGGCCGGATAGATTCGTGCAACTTCTTAGTCTAATACCGATCCTAATCTTACTCTTATACTATCTAGTCTCAGGTTGTTTAACTAGTCTCTGCTAGGCTCAATAGATCTAGGGTATACTGGTTTATTGCGGCTGCTGAAGTGCTCGGGAGAGTCCAACTAATTTCTAAGTTAAATTCAAATCTCTCTGGTGCTGAAATTACAAGTAACTTCAGCACTTACAAATAAGTGGGTTGTTAGTTAGATGGATCATGATTGGTTAATATTAAATACTTTACATTGGTAAAATATCTAATTTATCCAATCATAAAATGTAGTTTAGATCAGGTTCCACCCATCCGGGTTTTACAGAGTTTTTTAGAATAGTTCTTCTGCAATTCGAAGGATGGATGATGGACGTTGGTGTTTGGCGAACATCTTATTTCTTCTGTTTCCTTTTTGTTAAAGAAGTTCCAGGAAGCTGGAGTTAGAGACATAAGACGTTGTGTCTTCTAGTGACAACGACTAAGTCTTCGCAACAAACTCAAATCTGATTTCAGAATGGTTGGCTATGTCAGGTTTTTCTGTTCTGCGTGGAGAACTTCTTTTGTGTCTGATCTAGTTTGGGAATGGCGTGGAGATTGTGCGTGGAGGGGATGCCTGGTTACTCGGATCTGTACGTATACTTGAACATCGAGGTGGTCATTGGTCTAGTTCAATGAAGTCCTTTTCTGCGAAGTCAAGTCGTACTCTAAATCCTTTGAGTTGTGATTGTGAGTGGCATATCGATTGTGGTTGGTCATTCTCTCTCGAGTGTAGTGGGGTCGTTTTGTCTTTAGATGTTCGTCCTTGGTGTTGTATTCTGATCTATGTATTGCATAATGTAATTTACATTTTATAAAACATTTAATTAGTTTAATATTTTTTAATTATGATTTTAGTTAGTTGTTTTCACAAAAGCTTTTTGTTTTAGTTCGGTTATTTTGAAGAGTTACTCACACTTGAGTAGCTCTTATTAAAAATAGAGGTGTGGTCACAAAGCGTGGATGTAGCGCGGTGGGTTAGGCCGGCTATAGAGCATGCTCAGGACGTCCTTCCTGGTGGGTTAGGCCAGGAGTGGGAGTATGATTTCATGCGGTTTTTGTGAGGGGTCCTGTTATGTGACAACGTTTTATGTTGGGTTTGTTGTGGTTTTTCTTATGTCTTGTTGGTTATGTCCTTTTTCCAAAAAGCAAATTGTTCGTGGTATGGGTTTGTCTTTCGACTTTTTTGTGTTTTATTATTTCTTTCTTAGACTTTATAATAGTCTTCAAAAGAATAAATTATCCAGTTTTAAACTGGGTTAATCCGGTTTGGGTACCGTTGGTTTCCTTTTCTTAGTCATGCTGTTATTCTATGATTTGTGGTATTTAGTAAGCTGCGTTGGTTAGTTTTGTTTAGTATATGATTCCTTTCCAACCGGGTTAAAGGAAGGTTTGAAACATGTTATTATATGTTAGTGTTGTTGAGTGTGAAAACTTGAAACTGAAATTCATTATTTTAAACAATTCTTCGTGGGCGAGCTGTGCGAGTGTGGATAGAATTTCTGTGCGAATGAATGAAAATATCAAAAGGTTAGTACTGCAATTGCATTTTATTAATTTACTGCATAGAATTTGGAAATTTACTGCTAGTTATGGGGGAATTTTAAGTTACAAATTTTCATTATAATTAGATTTACTGCTTGTGGGGAAAATTTTAGAAATGAATTTACTGCATTGGTATTAAATTTATAAATTTATAAGTGTAAGAGATTAATAGAATTGTTGAAGTCTGTTTGATGAAATTTGCGATCTTTATTTGTTTTTTGTGGTTTTTGTAGGTGATCGTCGGATGAAGGCTAAAAATCTAAGGAAAACATGGATAAAGTATGGTGAGTTTTTTAATATTTCAATTAGTTAGTTATATTCATTTAATTCATACTTACCTGTTAGTCGTCGGGGAAAAAACCGTGGGGGAAGATGTCGTGAATTAGTTCTGAAGTTGTTAGTAGTTTAGCTAAGATGCGGATGATATTTTTAGTTTGAAGCAGTGGCCAAAGCAATTGAAGTGCCTTAATAGTGGTTAGTTCTTCAGTGCCAACTGCAAACTCATAAGGTGTGTTTTGGATTAGATTATATAATTTGTGATTGAATTTAGTGTTGTGGATGAATTCTAAAATTGGGATTTCTATAGGTTGTACAAACTCGTGCGGGATAAGGAAGGGTCGGGATTCTTCGGCGTTGAAGGTCTTGGTGATGGGACAGAAGATGTACATTTGGGTTATGGGGTCATAATTACGAAGAATACCATGAAGGTTAGTATCTTTAATGCAATATGTGAAATTTAGGAAAAATGGTGAAGTGTATTTGGAATTAATGAATTGAAAACGATGGTGTGGTTGTCTAGAGGGTGTGTGTAGGTCAAAGTGATTTTGGATGAAGCGATAATAACTATATGTGTGGGTTTGTTTAGTGCGCAA